AGGTGACATAAGAACAGCAATTCACAATCTGCAATTGTGTTTCGATGGTAACGGAGGATTTAATGAAACTTGTTATCTTCATTCTTCAACATTAGTTGATCCGTATCATAGTTTGGGAAAGCTTCTCTATGCGAAAAGGTGTGTGTTTTTCACACTGCATTTGGATTATTGCAGTTTTTCTAACAAATATGGTAGGTAGATACGAGGGTCAGTAGGTCTTGCGAGAAATATTGAAGTTTCATTTCATTAAGGGATTATAATTTCGTGAGTAAACTGGGATGTTCGTTTTTGTGCTACTATCTTTTCTCTATTCTGATTGATTGTAAAAAATTGTTCAAGTTTAACACATGAAGGTGCGATAAGGCTGACGACGATTGGAAGAACGCTGAAGAAAAGTTGAAAGTTGAATTAAGGAAAGTTTATTCGAGAGATTATCCTCCCAAAGATGATGTCAGTGAGGTCCTTGCTAAGAGTGGTATGAATGCTGACAAGGTTATTAATTTATCGATTTTAATTTGCAGGTGTTTGAATTCTATTAATCTATATCCTATTTTAATTTTTTGACATACTTCAGGAGCATCGCATTTTGAGGAATCAAACAGTAGATTTTAATAAACTTCAATTTTTAAGCATTTTATAGCTGGTGATGTTCATACACGAACATGAGCCGAATTTTGCTCCGTCATTATCATCTTATCTGGGCATTCTCAATAATATAAGCCTTTTCGATTCAGTGAGTAGCCGTTGGGAAGTTCGAATGGATTCTAATTTCAGCTCATATATGGGTGAAGTAAGAGTACTTCATTTACTAATTTTTTTACTTTTTGAGGTTTATATTTGTAAATGAAATTTAAACCAAACTGATTTAATTTTGAGCTCAAAATACGTCCATTTTCGAATTCATAGAGAGTTTGCGGAAATACTATAAAAGAGAGCTATCTTCTTCTATCAAATATACAGTTCTAAATTCGTAGTTAGCTCTAAACTGTAAGCTGCTGTTGTATATTATCTGGAATGCTGTTGATGAACCAAGAATATGATAACAGTAAAGTAATTGAAGAGCATATAAATTCTTGAAGAACATACAAATTCTCCTAATAACAAATCAACTGGTTTTACTTCAGGTGGCAGGTAGATCTACTGTTTTTCATAATTTCGGATGCAAAAGCAAACAAAGTGAGTTCCAGACTAATTTGCGAATTAGTGAGAATTCCTGCAATTTAATAGTATTCTATTTACAAGTTGTTCAAAACCAATGGAAATGCAAACTGTCACTATTCTACTACGTGTCATGTCGAATTATTTTTCATTTTCAAAATGTTCGAGAAGCTAAAATTTCTGATTCTTTTTTCAAAAATATTTGTTACAGGTAGAGGAATGTATCGTTTTCATAAACCCCGTTGTTCTGAAGAAGATTTTCAAGTATTCAGTAAACAAAAAGAAATTCATGCTGCTTTTCCTTCACATACTTACGGGGAGGTGTTAACTCTGTAAGAAATTTCATTCTTATTCTTGAAAAGCGGATCTTATCCGGGGTTCTGCATAAATATTTACATAATCTCAAATATTTCAACTTTATCAGAAGTAACTTTTACGAGGATTTCATAACTCTTTATCTCGTTTATTGTATTCAGAGATTTGGCTAACTAATAATTTGAATGACCATTTTCAATGATTTCAAATATTTCATTTCCTAATAATAAGTTGGCAACATTAATCTAGTAGGGGAATGAATTTTGAGTCTTAAATGAAAACAGAAAACTACAATATTGCTATGATTGCAGGACACTTCCACTAATTAGATTTATAAAACCACCAACGCTGGATAATTATCAGTGTCAAGTTCTTGTGTTACTGAATTCTGCGCTATGTACCAACTTTGTTGTGAGTCAGTCTTCTACAAACAGGAGGCCAAGCAGGAGATCTCCAGGAAATGATGAAGAAAACCAATTTGATATAGAAGAAATTGACCTTTCATGATTTTTGCACGTTGTTAGTTAGATTCTCTTCATTTTCTTTCGATATAACTTTTTTTATTATTGTTATTTCTTTCCACTCTTTATCACTAAAATGATAGTTCTTCATAAAATTTAACATATTTTGATTATTCACAAATTTATACTCATATTTTCTATTATTTATAGCTGCCATCATGTTTATATTTCAAGTACAGAATAGAGAAATCAAAATGTATTGTAAATTATTTAATGAGCAGATACAGGAAAACATTATGGTCCAATACTTGATGGAACAATAAAATACATTTTATTCTGCTTAGAATCCATAAGAAAGTCATTAATAGTACTTAGATTGCTCATGAAATATATGAAAAGGTTATCGAATGGACAACAATCACTAGTAATAAACAAGTTTGAAGTTATTGGATCATAATGTTTTTCTGTATCTGTTCATCAAATTCACGTTTACTATATCATTTGCGTCAATAAAAGAACAAAGATGTGGATACGTCTTGTTTCAATTTAACGATATTTCTATTGTGCATATCTCGACCGCATTACGCTCTATTTCAACTTCATAAACTTTTTTAGACATTAGTGTTTCTAAATCATTAGAATTCGACATAATACGGGACAATTGAATAAATAAAAACTGGAACCATCGAGTACCTATTATTTGTAACTCTTTTTCAGCCGACTTAAATATACGGTAAAATTGGCCTAATATTAATTAAATTATTCTTCACTTACTCACTAACACAAGTGATCAATACATTATTAAATATTAGCTGTGCTTGAATAATAGTGCAAAGAATAGCTGGAAGCAAGTAATGCGAAATGATTATTGGTGTGAATTATTTTATTTATAAGTTATTAGCCTATTTAAAAGCAATTAATAATATTCAAAAACTGTTCTCATTTCTATTCTTATAGGATGCTTAGAATCCCTTATTCAGGTGTAGAGGAGTTGGAACAGATTTAAATATTCTCACACACCACTCATCCTATAGTAATGATATCTCTGTCGTTGGTACCATTTGTCACAGTAACGAGAAAAAATTCTCAATATTTCGAATCTGATATCATATCATTCCGAAAGAATCTCCGAGAGAAGAAACATATCGCGAGCATGATAATCATCTGCTCAGTTCTAAACCACAAGAGCGAAACACAACTATTATTATCTTAACCACATCGAAAACACTATATTTTCATTTTAATCCAACTAACTCATTTTAACCCTTCACGAACTGAGAAAGTATATTATTTTATAGCAAGCTGCTATTGATCGTTACAATGGTCGAAGCTATATCCTGTAGTAACAATAGTGACAGTAGTAACAGTCGGTATGGTTAAATCTCCCATTTCTATTATTCATAACTCATCACCGTATGCTGTAACACATACCTTATCAGCTCATTTATTTCTAATATATAATCGAAAATTGTTTGAAATTATGCTAACTTTTATGATTACAAACTTTCTTACCTCTAAATTCATTTCTGTTGAAATACATTTTCAAAGTGATTAAAACAATTAGGAAATGTTAAATTTTGAAATTATAGAATGAATAGAATAAATTATCACTAGAAATATAACTGATACGTCACAGTTACTAGTGGTATAATATAATGAATGATTATGTATGATTTTAACAATTTACTGGTAATCTCACGCGATGATTTATCTGTTAAATACAGGCATCATTTGCTCAAAAATTTTAAAACAGTTAAAATAAACAGGAAATTATTAATGCACTGAAAGTGTGACAATTAGTCTCTTTGTCATTTATTAATTTCATTAAATATTTTTGCTCTAAATTTTTTTTACATTTTTTGCTTTAATTAATTCTCTATTAGTTATAATTAATTAAATTCCATTCAAAATGAAAATTTACTGTTTGGCTAGCAATAAATATTATTTAAGGAAATCAATGTCACATAGAAGAAAAAACAAAAATTCCACGGCGATAATTTATTCTATTCATTCTATAATTTCAAAATTTAACATTTCCTAATTGTAAGAAAGAATAAAATAAAATCTCATCGAATATTGGAAGATTTTTGATCAAAATATCAAAGAAAAAGTTTTGCCATAAGTCTTTTTTCCAACTCAATAATTCAACGACTTCTCGGATTTAATGTTTTCTGAAGTGATAATGCTTGCAATAAGTTCCATCGAGGCATTCATTTACTTACGATTATTTCATTCTTTGCTGAGATTAATAGATACTCTTGCCATTTTTGATTCTCATCAAAAATTTTTCAATAAATTTTTCAGTTAGTTTCAAAAAGTCAAAAATCATTTCAACCGCTCATCTATATGGTTTGTCTCATTGTTCATTTATCTATGTATTTATTAAATCTATGTATTTAATTATGCGTTTACTTCGATCTAATTGAATTTCCATTTAGGGAAACCAATAAATAACCAACACATCAAAATATTATTCATGAAACGTTACAAAAATAATATATCGTTTCATGAATTTTTGTGAAAATAATGAGAAAGTTAGTGAGTACTATTACAGATTATTTATAAAGCTGTGTAAATTTTTTCATCAGTTAGCTTTGTTGAGATTAAGCTGAACAAAATTTAAATTTTATTAAAAATGTATAATGCTAAGGTATACATACAACTATTGTATAACATCCGACCAGTTGTAACTAGATGAAATAAGCTTTGAACAGCTGTATGATTCACAAATACGCTCATTTTGCTTTTGGTCATTTCGTTTATTCGTTGATCAATCTGTCCTCTCTTGAAATGTACGTCTATTTTGTTTTAATTTAACATAAGTATGGTATGGTGCAGTTAATATAATAATAGCAGAAGAAATAGCTTGAAGGAAGTCAAATATTACAATCAATCAATTAATCAATTAGATCACTTATTCAGTAAAGAAAAGAAAAAATGAAATGGAAAAAGAGGTGGAGACTTCTCGATCGGATTTTGTCGGGTGACCGATTCACTGCTCTATCAATATATTTGAGTTATAGGGTCTATAGCACAAGCACGATGACACTCCTACCTTCCAGTTACAGTTCAACAACACAACTCTGAAACTCGATTTCAGTACCCGATTTATTCTCTACTTCATTACTGTCATATTCCGTTGAATTAACTTTCCCTCTCTCTCTCCCTGTCTCTTCCTCAAATTGCACCTATTTCTGAAATTTCCTTATGTACCACTGCCAAGATTGCAATAAATTTCTTAAATTTATTTTAAACTACTAACTCTTATTTGCATACGAACAATATTGTGCCATTAATAGCGTTGCAAGAAATGTCTTTTCCCCATTCACGAGCGCAATCTGAAGTCTTCTCGGCATCCCAATATGATGGACCAATCATTAAACGATCACGAATACAACTTAATTATTTCATCATTCCAACTTTCATCTTATCAGTTGTCGGCTTGGCATGTTTATGGACATTATGGTACTATATGAGGTAGATTTTCATTCTTTACCTCTTTTTATAATCATATATATCAGCATGTCTTCATGACATATTTCATTAATATTTTTTATTATTTTTAAAAATAGCTAAATGATAAGCATCTCTTAATAGTTATTCATTTTTATTCGATATGATAGTTAGCCAAAAAAAATGCAGGAAAGACTTTAGAATTAAGTAATTTCATTTGTACGAGAATTTCAGTTTCACGACCGTATTCCCCTATCATCATCGAGTATTCCAGTGTCGTGATATTCTGTTGTATAGGCCCAATTTTCAGTCAGAGGATTTCAATCTTTATGTATCCTATGTCCTCCTTTATGCTCTTGGTTTCACATTACCACCGTTTGTTGTATGTTTTAATTTTTCACCTTTTCACATTTTAATCAATTCATTAGTAAAATTCTAGATGAACTATTTGCTTGTTTTTGATGAATAAAGTCAAAAATCATCCAAATTTACAAATTTCCGAACTCACATTTGGCTCGCTGTTTCTTTCTCTCAAGTTCTTATTTTATATTATAGATGTTTATCGGTGAAATAATGTTTTGGCTATTCTCCACAAAACCAAGAAAGGCTGTTTATGCTAGCTGTGGCGAATGTAAAATTCATTTATTAACTCGACGACTTCTGCGATTTATCAGTTAGTCATCCAACATTATATGTTTAATAACACAGCAACAACCATACATTTTATCAATCCCGCCAGCTTTATTTTAAACTGAATAAATTAAAAAAAATTTCCCAATGAAATTTCATTATTCTAATCTTTGCTGAACGAAAACAATAAGTCAAAAGTACCGATAAATTACGGTAAAAGTATCGCTAATATATTGCCAGAATTATATTTTCTTTTTATAAAACTATTCATAAATTATTCGATTTAAGTAACAGCAGAAGTAAAACTTGGAGTCGTTCTATTCATTTCATAATTTCAAAAATGTCTTAAATACTAAATATATTGAAAAATCTAAATTTCGCTTCTCAAATAAAATCACTAATTTATTGCTAAATATCTTAATTTATAGACATTTGAAAAATTAGTTTTTATCTTGAAATAGTTTGGTTTTATTTAAAAAAGAAGGACTAATATACGAGATGACCTTGAATTGCAGGTGTATTCATGTTCGGTGCACTAATAACACAAATATTTATTTATACGATCAAATTTATGACTGGTTATCATCGGCCATATTTTTTGTCACTTTGTAGACCAAACATAAGGTTTCCTAAATTATCGCTTTACTTCAGACACACACTTCTTCCTCCCATATTTTTGTTTATTTTAGTAAAAGTTTGTGTTTTAAAAAAGAATATCCAAAATCCTTCAGTTCATGAAGTCCATTATATATATATTACATTGTTCAGCGAAACGATACTTCAACAATATGGTCTATGAGCAATTAGTGGTATTACAGTATAATATTATGATAGATAATACTTTGAGTTTTTTAAAATTTGAAGGAGTTTGGAGCTAAAAAAATTTAACAAAATAAACAAGTAAATTGGCTTTCTTAACAAAAATAATATCAAATTTATATGAATTTCAGTTTTATTGGCAGTTTCTAAAATTTTGTTTAATTTCTCTTACATTTGAAACTTTTTAGGCCAATTTTTCCTTTAAAATGAAAGCATAAAACTAAGAAAATCTAAATCTAAATTTTAACTAAATTATTTCTTATAAAATTAAAATAATCCTTAAATCGGAAAAGAAAAAAAGAAAACTAATAATCAAAAATCTTTGGAAATAAAATGAAAAACTGGATCTTTTATCAATCTTCAAATATTTGCTCTTTAAAATTCAAAAAAATTAAGAGAGTTTAAATAGAAGAATGGTTAAGTATTAGACTTTTTAATTTACAGAATGATTCAATCGACAAATATGCATTTTAAGTGTCTTAAATTATAACATTTTCCAAATAGTTCTTTCTAATTTATTACTCTTTACTAAGTTATTTAGTGAAGTAATTTTAACTTTAACATTTTTTCCCAAATGCAAAAATCAGAGATAAAATTATAGCGCATGTATAGGACCATTGGAGCAATCGCCATCACCATCTCCCTTTCTTGCATGTTTATATCGGAATCCTAATGATTTACGCTATGCTTCACTTTCATTCCCATCACTTCATGCGGCATTTTCATCATTTTCATGCACATTCGCATCGGTAACTTCAATAATTCATTTCAATGCAAAAAAAGCAAATAAAACCTCTGAAAACCTTAATTATGGTATCAATCCCTCTATTACGATTTCATGCCATAATATGGTTCCATTCCGCTGTACAGTTCTCTTAATCTTAACGAGTTATGAAGTTTAGCAAACACTTATATAGTTCAACACAAAAGTTAAAATTCAGCTATTGTCTCTCAGATATCTTTGCTAAAGAATATGCCAATGAAAATAAGAAATCATAAGATGATAGAGAATAATGAATTAAGCTCATCATTTGAGTGACAATAACTTTACAGTGCTACATTTACTATATGATCAGTCTACGTAGTGCGCCTTTGCTGCGACCATTTTTTATATTCGGTTTCATGGGTCTTACACTAATTGATTCATTTTCACGAATCAGTGGTTACAAGAATCATTGGAAAGATATTTGGGTTGGATGGTTGATCGGTTTTTTTATCGCTCTTTTTCTGGTAACTATTGGATTGGCTCTTCAAATAAATTTGAAAATTTTCATTCCAATAAAATATTCATTTATGTCACCATTTAAATAGTAAAATGGAACTTTTTTAATTCGTACAATAATTTTCATATTCCTTTTTCAGCATTTTAAAATTTTCCTTTAAAGAAAAGCAAAGATTACAATTTAGTTAATCAATAATATATTATTCCTTGTATTATTTTCAGTGTTACTCTGTCCAGTGCTTCCAAGAGCACTATTATTATGCAGCAGAAAAATCGATGACATTGGAGGAGCGTGTAAGTCCATTCTTTCAATGGTTTAGATTACCACGTATACGAGCATCCTCTTTGAAGGAAGAATATACGTAAGTTTGAAATGACTTCCTTTATAATATTTACTTATTGATTTCAAAAAAACAGCTCTAAAATCATATTTCGGAATCAAGTATTTAGCACATTGTTGATTTTTACAATGTAAGTATCTTTAATAATGGAGAAAAATGACAAAAGGAATTTTTGATGCTTTTCAATGACAGGGTCTACGAAGAAGACATTCCACAGCAGATAGTTCCAGCACATACCGCGACACGTCATCGTCGAAGTCAAGATCGTACCTACGAAGTTACTACAACAACCGAAAGCTTTCATCGTACCATTTCTCCACCACAGCAACAGCAAAAGCAAAACGGTTACGGTGGTCATTAAAGTCATTGGTCATTGTTTCATTGAAGTCATAGTCATTGGTTCATTGGTCATTGAAGTTTATTGAAATCCATTGAAAATCGTGTACTTCTTCTATCAGCATAAAATATTGCTCAGTTTTGTGTGTCGAAAAAAATCTTAAAGTGCTTCATTGCGATGGCTAAGTAAGACTGAAGCGTAATGAAGCCTATTATGAGATGCTTTAAGTTAGTGATAGATGAGTGATAGCCACTTAAAATAAAACAAAAACTAAGCCAACCAATGGATAAAGTTTGATATCATAAGCTTTTTTCAACAAATTTAGCATGGGAACGGGAAGCTCGCCGAGATGATAGTCGTAATGCATTATGGTCATCTGGTACTATCACAGGATACAAAGTTTTCTCGGGACTTATTCTTATAAAGCAAGTGATAACATTATTGTAAGATGAAGTAAATTGTTTGTAGTATTTCGATCATCGTTGTTAAGGGTGGACGTTGCATGATTTGTCTTTGTCCCTTCCTTGACCCGGAAGGACACCGAGTGACAGATACTTATAAAATCTAATTATTCTAAACAACAATGAAGAACGATGGAAGAAAATAAGCTCAAAGAAGCTCATATATGGTAATAATAATATTAATAATTTGCTAGCAAAGTTTGTTAGTTTAATCACACTTCTACTCAATAAACCAATGCTGTAATCAGAAATATCAATGAGATAACCTTTTAGTGCTATAATGTGCCAAATAAGACAAGTAAGGCATAATTATATCTTAAGATCAAACTGTTCACAAAACAAACAGTTGCTGAGAGAACAATGGGTAATAAACACAAAAAAATGGATCTCGAAAGCTCGGGATATTCGAAGCATATTTCTACCAACTGTAATCATCTAAATGGAAAAGCGATATCTCTACCTGCAAATGTCAGAGCATTTATCATTAATCGTCTTCTGATAAAATTCATTAGTCGCACGATCATAGTCGAAAATTTTTCCTTTACATAATCAATGTCTAATTGATTGATAATCCAAATATTCTTCAATTCAAAAAATTATTTCTTTTGACTTTAAAAAATGTTGTGAATTAATATATATTAATGGTCAAATCATTTTGATATTATAACGATGAAAAATACAGCAAGCCAATTTCTTCAGAATGTAATAAAAATATAACCGTAATCATTGGTTAGCGCATTGAGAGTTTATTTTATCTGACGTTATTTTCAGCTGTACTTTAGGCTGTACATTATTCGAATTGCTATTTTCAACCGTCACCGAAACATGCCTTAACCTGCAAAATTTATGATAATTGCATGCATATGTTATTAAAATCGCACATATATTTTTTTATAAAAATATTCTAAAAAATGAAACTTTTCTGAGTTCCTTTACGAAACCATTATAACTTAGTTTNCACCATTATAACTTAGTTTGTTTATTCAATGCATTACGGTTACCTTCGAAATGAATTTAGGTATGAATAGCGAACAAAGATATTTGCATCGCAATAATAAAGAATATAATGCTTACAATATCTTTTGTATGTAAAATGGTAAAGAAGAATATTTCTGGAAAACTTACAACAACTCGTTTAGAAGATCCCAAAGGAGCGGGAATGATTACTGTTCCCTCTCCTTCTCAATTAAAGCTTCTAAGTATAATTTCATAATATCTGCTACAATTTTAATGAATAACAAATCTTTCATTTATGATATAATTTCCATTAAAAATATTTAAAAAATTTTTTTTAAATTTTACTCTTTTGAAAAATTTTTCATAAACGTAATAGTTAAAATAACAAAAAATAAAGAATAAACAAACCTATGAACAATTTGTTGAAAAAATTTATGGCTAAATGAAAATAATTCGCGATTAAATGCATTCCGGATACGACTACTCATCGAACAAAAAATACCAAATGTAACGCAAGAATTGAGCAATGAAAGAATATCAAATAAATCTCCCAATAATTCAGATTCCGCGAAATTTTCTCCTTTCACCGATGATAAAACCGAAATAATACCTTGTGGTAACTCCACGGCCACAAAATTTATCATAATTATCTAAACAAAAAATCAATTCATCTGCTGATTCTTAATTAACCTAATAATGATTCATCCAATTTTCCAGTTCTTTGCAATTCTCATCAAGTTCTTCAGTATTCATATCATTTCCTCTTTATTCGCCCTTTTCCGCCAAGTCATACTTATGATCATCCCCAGAGATATCCAGTTGTAAAGAATTAATGTACATTCGAAACTTCAAATTAGATTTTCAGACAACTTCATTCATAAGATTTGTTTAGAATGCGAATCAATCAATCCAATATTTTTCGTCCTTTATTTCCTTTCCATTTTTTAACTTCCTTAGCTCATTCCAAATGATCAATTGATCTAAATTCATTAATTTCGACTGTAAATTGTAGAAAATCCGTTAACTTTTCACTTTAAAAAAATTTTAACCATATCCGATCTTTTCTCGCATTCCATTTTTTTCATAAAATCATTTTCGCTGGATAATTTTTTTTATCTTCCTTTTCGAATGATCGATCGTTATTCGTCGTATCGCGTTTAGAAAAGTGCTCTTTCCTTTTGCTTGCAAATGGCAAAATTTCATTTCAAACTCTTTCATGGATTTAGTGAATCCAAACAATCGATCAGGATGAGAACATATTTTTTGTAATGTTTTAAGATTTTATATTTGTAAAACGTCAAATATTAAAAAAAATTATTGAGAATTTTGACAAATTTCGAATTGCCGCATATTTTCATCAATTTACACTTAAAAAACATTTTAAAATCAAGAAAGAAATTAAATAAAAAAATTTGGATTCTTAAAGATAAAATGTGGTTTTGGATGTTCACATTAATAGAATAGAAAACGAGAATTCTTGCATACCATAATGATGTATGTCACACGTCGACATCTCTTTTCGCGTTTCGGTGACGTAAACCTAATAGATAATAGTCGAATCTGACGTAACTTATGTACCAACAACACATTCATTACAATCATGACAGCGCATGGTATCAATTTGCACATAGTGCCTAGAAGCCAAAAGTTTATTCGTACAAGAGCAGTATTGTTAGCAAATATGGTGAAACTAAGCTCATGCGCCGAAAGATTGTTTTTGGACGGATATCGTGCCGAACATTGCCGATGTGATGATACTTTACGCACTTCGGAATTGAAAAAGAAAGGTATGCACAGCAAGACGGCACCAATGTTGATTAATATTATAGTGCGCAAACATTTCTGCAAATTATTATAGTCTTTAAAAAATTATTTGTCATTTCTTTGACTTCAGAGCTCTTCAAAAATGATTACTTTCCACTTATAAATAAAATAATAGTTTCAATTCTGATAACTCCCAGTAATTGATCCCGATCTTTGCCAAACAAGTCTTCATTATCTATCGTAAAAGTTGCTGAAAGTTCTTTTGAGAGACTAACACTGTAACTAAACCAGAATTTGGTTATTCTTGTTTGATGGATTCGATTCAGTGAAATAAAACGTATGAACGATAATGTAATCACATGAAAAACACCGCTCATATGAACCACCACCGATGCATTTACTGACACCTACAATGATTGCTGCAAAAACATTAAAAATTTAATGTTTAATTTGTTGAACTTTAACTCTTCGTTTTTATCATTAAAAAGAAAATGTTTTTAAAAGCGATAACTATCAGTAATTTTCATGAGATCTTCAAGGAAAATGTAATGACTTAAAATAATTATGTCATATTATACCATATATTTAGCATCGTATCATTTTTATTGATTTAAAATTGATTCACATTTTTATTGATTTAAATATTTAAAAGACTTTCCAAAAAACAAATTTTCAAAAAAGAGTATCTTTTTTAAAAAGTGTATACTTTAATGCAATAATCTAAATCTAATGAAATTCCATCTAAACCTTAAATCAGTAAGATTGTTTAATTCAATTTAGTTTAATTTAGTTCATTTATTCATAATTTATCAAATCATTATGATTATTTCGCATAATACTACAAAAGTTGGAATTGTGAAATTTCTCTATCAAATTTTATTTAGTATTATTCAATGAGTAGAAATTTGAAATACTTGAAATTTACCACATCAAGTTTTAAATCTTCAATTTTCCATAACTGGCAATGAGATGGAAAGTCTTTTAAATTTAATTTCTCTCAAAATTAATATATATTATTATCAAAAAAAGTGCTTACCAATAATGTAGCCACCCATGCGTGGGACCAAAATTGTGATATGCAATATACATCACTGAGATATTTGAATAAGCTGGAGTAGAAGAAATTTGCACATAATGCAATTTGAGTGCTAAAAAAACTTCAACTTAAATTCGAAATTAATAAAGAATCTGCTCATAGAATTGATCTTCCTCAGAGAACACTCTAATTAAAATTCTAAAAAACATTTTCTTATTCATTATTGTCTATGAAAGATAAAGTGCACAAAAAATATCTTCCAGTAATTAATAATTACATTTAAATTCATTCTCATTATAAAATCATATAACATTAATTTTTTTATTGAATGCAAAACTATTTAAGAATTGAAAAACTAAGAAATGAAACATTTATTCAACTTTTAGTTGCCTCTAATTTATGCAAATTCCAATGTGCTCCATAGTTTCCACCCATTTATGCGACTAATGAAAAGAAATCATTGTTACAACAAATTAAAGTCTTCAAAATCTGTAGTGCGGGACAATTTAAAATGTACTATGAGAAATTTAGATGGGATCCTGCCAAGTAGTACAATGTATTTCCATTCATTTCATTTCTCAGAGAATTTAGATCCTCAGCTTAACCGTAAAAGAGCCCAGTTCTGTCTACAGGAAAGACACGTTCCAAAAAAGCGGAAATCACCACTTCACCATTCAATTGATATAAATTTTGCATAATTTTTTAACAAAATTTGAAGTGAAACGACTATTTTGATATGGACAATGATAATGAACTAAACAAACTTTTTAAAGCAACTTATTATTGTTTGCATAAGACATAATACCATCCCTTATAAATAACTCATAAAAAAGAGTGAGAAAAAAAGGGAATTAAATTCAATATTATAATAAATTATGAATTTACTGCCAGCTATTCATTAGTTCCATAAAGAGGGAATGAGGTCATTCTCATTAAAATATTAATATTTTATATGCCATTATTATTGCTGTTGCTAATTGAATAATTAATGGGTTGAAAAAAAAGATGAATATTGTTTTCTGTTGTAAAGTTGAACTAAAACCATTCGGCTGAAATGGCTAATTTTAAAAATTTAATGAACATAATTTTGTGAAATTAATCAATTTTTGTTTTCCTTAAAACTTTTCTCTAAGATTTCCTTCAGTTCAATAGTTTTATGGGTTTGGAAAAAAGAGTTTAACAGACTTTCAAAATAAAACTTCGCTTTTGATACATTTGAAGATATGTCGTGCTTGAGTTTCTCTTAAATTTTTGAAATACTGAATTTCAAATTTTAATTTAAAGTTATTAATTTAACTCTATTAAGATGGGTTAACATTCGATGATACTAACTTATAATATTAAATTCATATTGCTATTGTTCGTCTGATACATCGATCATATCATTAATTTTTAAGAGATTGGATGATAAGACTAACACATATCCAACACTTTCATTCATTAATATATGAATGAGAAAGCTGCCCATAATTTTTGCTTTTTCTTCTATAAAACACATAATATTTCTAATTTTAGAAATTAGAAATAGCAAAAATGAAACAAAAAAAAGGGAATAGAAATGAAATAAAATAATTTTTTCCTTTTCACTTATTGTATTTCTTTTGTTTTCTTTCCTTTTACAATTTAATTATCTCTCAAAGTTATTTTAGCAATAAAAAGGAAAAACAAAATATTTAAATGAAATGATATTCGAAATCAAATAATTGTTTAATTGAAAATTAAAATAGTAAAAATTTCTTGCGCTGAATTTTATTCTGATACATAAATTGTTCGATGAGGATGAAGAGAAGCATACCAGGACATGCTAATCATGAATAAATTATTCGGATTAATCATTGAATAGAATATGTATATTGAAATGACATGTCCAAATATTCCCGCAGTACAAAGTATCAAAATGATTGCTGTCTTGATATGTATTGCTAATAATGCTTCATTGTCTTCGAATAACATTTGATAAAATACAGGGTTAATTAAATAAATTCTGTGCAAATTACGCAATCAAAGTTCTAAAACAGGAATAATAGATTAGAAAAAAAAACAAAATGATGCTATTTAAAGCTTTATTTCAACTAAGAATATCTATGATATGATATGATATGAATGGACATTTAAATTGCATTGTTAAAAATGTAATGTCAAAGTTCTTTATTGATTTAATCTATTCCAATGTAGCAATTGATAAAACGGGTAAAATATTAAAATGATAAGATGAAATATTTATAAAATATGTAAAGCATTATAAAATGATAATAAATATCATATTAAGAGTAAAACAAAAGCGAACAGAATGATTAGGCTAATTCGAAGGTAATTAGTAAATTAAACTGAAAGTTAAAACTTTTACTTACTTCTTTACTTTTATTAAATAGAAAATAAAATCAATACGAGCTGTAAAGAGCTCTTCTCTTATTTCATATGGGAGAAACTCTCTTTACTGCTCATATAAATTTTTCAAATTCAAGAATTAATATTGTTGTTAGAAAGAGCAGTAAATTAAAAATAGAAGCTGTTGAATTTTTAATAACTGAAAATTTCGCAATTTATTTCAGTCTTCTAAGAGTTCTTTTCTTTTAGATTAAAATCTCAAAAAAAAAAAATTAGCTAATTAATAATAACGGACAGAATACAATGAGGAGATGGTGGATTAATAGCCAAGAAGCTTATCCAGGCTTTCATCTGCGCTATCACATAGGTATTTGCTAGCCATAAATATATTGTCCTCTTGGCGTTGTAAAATTAACCAAAAAATGTCAAACATTAATTTATCTCACTGCTCTCAGTTCTCTATGAAGTCATTCCTGAAAGCATAGTCTTTTTTAATGATTCCTCCACAAGTCATCCGTATTCTATTCCAGTTAATCCGTTTTAATGCTTCTCTTGTCTCTTTTCAAAATTTAATTCAGCCATTTTCTCCATAAAAACCATTGAGTAGATTCCCAAATTCTTGCAATGTCTTATCATATTTTCCACTATGTATTCCATAGTGACATGATTAAAGTATCTTAAAAATGTCGAAGTTTCTTCGGTCAATTCAAAGCAGTCAATTCGACTTAATCACTCTTCAATTATTATGACATTTCAAATTTCTTATATAATAGCAGAATGATAAGCCAGAGATAAGCCAGAGAAGCAAGAAAAAGTAACATATAAATTTGTTAGAATGAAGAAAATTAAGAAAGTACTATTTTTCCGGAATCTTCTGTGATATCAATCAGCCAAAGTTCAGATTCCCATATGAGGTCAATAATTTACAATCAGCGAATGAGTGAACAAGTGATTAATGTCTTTTTATTGCGAAGTTGACGGAGTCCACTGGTACGAATATATTTAGCAAGGAAAGATTCGTCTTTAGTTCAAATTCTCTCTCATATTGATTGTATCATCCATTCCTTTCGGATCATTAACACATCTCATTTCTCTCATTCAACTTCTTATCAGAAATCAGAACTGTACACTAATGTTCTGTCTATTTCGTCTTCAGTTTGAATAATCTGTCTATTAACAATTTCATTTTTTTTTAAAAAAATATCTGTACGGAATTATGGAGGATGAATTATTTAGGATAAGGGATGATTATCAAAAAATTTTAGAATAAATAAGTTGCATGATTATAAAAGAAAATAAGCAACACATGAAATATTGGAAAGGAAAGAAAGAAGACGAGGAATAACGCTTCTTCATTTTTCATATGTTTTTTTTTTTCAGATTTCATTTAATTTATTCCTTCAGAATTTCTGATACTGAAAAAACTTCAACTTCAAATTTAAAGATATAGTCAGATGACTGTTGTAAATACGTTGAAAATAAATTTTATTGCTTGATATTGAAATGGAAAATCGAACTTTGCATAGACCTTAAATAAATTGAATTCCTAAAAAATTTACATCTTCCGATCATAATGTAGTATCTTCTGATCTTTGAGATGGAAGAGACATTAATCTTTTTAATTGTTACGATTAGTCGAACCATTCAAAACTATGGTTTCTCATTGTGAAATTCATCAGCGCTATTTCTTTCTCAATTTTAACTCAAATAAAGGCGCAAAATGAAGTCCCAAAAAAAGGATTATAGTTTTTCTTCTTTTTTTGTTTACATAAAATGAAAATTTAAGATTTGAATTTCGCATTAAAAAAAAACCTAACTTTATCCATATCAGAAGATACAAATGATTTGAACATGTATCAATTTTACTTGTGGGTGGCAATAATTATCCAAAAGTTCATTTACTATCTGAAAATATAAAGAATGTTTTGTCATTTTTTCTGATCCTTACTGTGATACCATTGCTATTTAAAGAAAAATGAGAATAAATTAATTTTTAGATTGAAAAAGTATATTCGAAGAGAAATAATGCATTAAAGCAATTTTCCTCTATAACGAAAGCATAAGAAATACTCAATTTTTATTTGAAAAAAACAAAGCTTCCATCTCATAAACCAATGCTCTCACATTTGTCAATAACTACTACACTTAAATATCTTATGCTATATACGTTTTTAAAAAATAATGGAATAAGTGTTAGTTTGGTTTTAGAAGCAAATTTCTAACTTATAATATGAAGAGAAATGAAAACTTTGCTTGGAGAAGAGATGAAAATAAGTAATAAAAACGGTATACAATTGCTATCTTTTTTAAAATATTCAGTTTCAATGAAAAAAACTCTTCCATTCAACACAGTTTTATACTTTTCCCACATTTAAGGAGGATTTATTTTCAATGAAAAACCACAGAATAGCTCTCTTTGTATTTTATTACGTTACAGTACCATTTAAATTTGAAATTTCAATTGCTATATTGATAATACTGAAATGTCATACTTCTTTATTTCTTTTAAATGAGAAAAAATTTTATAATATTTAAAAGAATGAAATTCTATTAATAATTGAAGAAAAAATTTGTGATTTGAAATGCATTCTAACTTAAACAAATAAGCGAATTATGACAGTCTTCTTTATTTTACGGAAACAGAAGAAATAAAGAATACCATTTAATTATATATTTGCTAAGTAAATTAGCAAGCCTAACAGCTACAAATTTTAATTGAGATACCGCTGAACTCCAGCTGCATGACTTTCTTTTCATTTTTGTTGATATTATATGTTATTGGTACCGGTAGATATCTTATGATTCTTTATTTGTGAATATATCCAATCAATATTGTTGTTTCTACTTCCAGAAATGAGAATATTTGCTTTTTATTATTGTTACTATCAAAATTTGAGTAAACTTTTATAATTAACTAATGTATCTGATGAAAGGCACCATAATGATTTCGATTTATTTTAAATTGAAATATTATAGGATCATGATGATCATGTGAGTGCAACTTGATATGTTTGGATCGGAAAAAAATTAGAAATGTTCTTCAATATTCTGTCAACTCATCTTCATCTTATTAAGACGACCGAGCAATTATCCAACTTAAGCAATCGAAATGTACTCAAACATCCCTTACTGTAGGAATATTAAATTTTAAAGTAGAAAATTTGTCAAATCTCAGAACTCACTCCATGATACCAATATATTAATGTATTAATGTCACAGCAAACAGAAGCTTCACTGCTCAAAACTTTTATATTCTTTTTATTGATGCGTTAATAATGTTCATTTGTTCTAAGAGAAGAAAGGACAACTGGTAGAGAAATGTTGATATCGTAGATTACATCTGGAAACAAAAATTGAAATTTTTATACGAGATTTCAGACATCTCAAAAAAATTTGTGCAAGATGTTCTTTTATTTCCGAAATAATTTAAAGGCTGTTATGAGTCCATCACACCGATATCATTTGATTTTTACAGTGGAAGTGTAAAACATTTTCAAACCTATGCTTACTGTCGGCCGAAATCATTGGGTGAAAGAGATAAACAACTGTAGTCGGAATATTTGTAATGAAATACTTGAATGCATTCCCGATACTCAGATATACGAAGCATAAGATGAGAATAATAGAATAATAAGCATAGGTTGAAATCTTCCATTTTCCGATTTATCTGTATTTCAGGAGATCTCCTCGTCCCGTTGAAAACACTTCTTCAACTCTTCCCTTTCTCCTTGTGATATTTCGAAGAACAGGTTTCTATGCAACGTATTTTAATAAAATATTTTATAAATATTAGAAATTAACAATTTTCTTGCCACAAATGAACAGAAATAAATATATCACATTGTTTCATACACGCGTTCCTACTTCTTTCAACTTTTCAGCTGCACTTAAAGCTGGAGAAGAAACTGATATTGCTAATTTCTTTGCTCTCGATTGTACTTCTTCAGGTATGCTTCCTTGTATTTCTTCCTAAAGAATTCCAGAGAGTGAAGAAATATGAAAGAGATTTTTTCCAGCAAATTCAGAAAAATTTTGCAAAAAAATAGACAAAAATAATTTTAGAAAATAAGAGTAGAAGAACTTGTCTTATTATATTAAAAAAGAATGATTCGAATAATAGACCTGTTTTATCTCTTTTTCCCTGGTTTTAATATAGTTTCGGGCAATAACAAATGAAATACTGCAAATCATAATAGTTATACCAATCGTAATCATAGCGAAGAAAATTGAGTAACGATTTTTTTCAAATTCAGCTGACAGTAACAGACTTGACGGTCTCTACAAATGCTTTGAAGGTCCAACACAAAACATTTGAAAATGATTCAAATTTATGAATTCTAGTAAAAAACAACGAAACAAATGGATGAATAGATTTTTGCCAAATAAAGAGAATGTCACTGAGAAAAGGGTAACAACTCGTTCCTCTATATAAGGTCAACAGAAACTTTAGCACAGTTCGTTGCATAATGAGGTCATTTTTAGACGACAGAAACTAAATTGCACTTTATTAAGTACCAATGCTTAGCAGGTCATAACCTTTTCAACTGGTGCACGTTATAGCATTACATCTACACTTCGCGAACAATAAGAAATAATCTCTAAAGCACATTATCTGTGAGACCTATTAAAATTTTTAAGGAAACTATCAAACTATACAAATTTAAAAATGAATAGAATTATTAGTAACATACAGAATCATAATATGTTGATGGCCCCCATTCGTATTTGCTAAAAGCGTTTACTGCAATCGAATCTATCAATTTCGTATTATAGTTCGACTTCGTATCCGTAGTTGCCAGAATTTTAGTGCGACCTGCAAAAATCAAAGATGGCTTGCGATTTGGAATGCCAAAATGGTATAAACTGGAAAATAGCTAAGATGAAAGATATGCATAAATCAGGAAAGACTCACGTGAAGCAACTGTGGTATTATGATAGTTACTTCCAATACATTCCGGAAAGCAACGTGCCACATAGTATTTCGAGTAAGCCTCAAATAAGATGTTAATATGTTTCATGCAGAATTAGCTATTATTAAAATTTAGATAATTTTAAATGGAAAATTTTATGGAATATTAAAACCGAAAAACACAACGATGCATTTTTCAGCATAAAACAAACGGTCTAATCTGATATTTCTTTCATCAATAATTTCATTTATAGAACTCTAAAAATTGTAAAGCATTCAACATATGTGGTTGATATCGTAAGCCATACATTAGTTCAAAAAATATTCTTCTGAGTGTCACAAAATACAAAATCGTGAGAGCTTATTCATTTATATGATAAGTCAACTTCGAAACTATGAAATGTACAAAACAAAAATGTTGAGGAATTAATCTCTGGAGCAGATTTACAAATGGTTTTTCAAAAAATCATTGTTAATCTTTAGTTTCATTTTCAACTAAATTTCATTGCTAATGAATTGAGTAATTAATGCTCGTGAAGTTTTAGTTCAGCAGTCTTATTTTTTACTTCAACATCTACAGTTAATACTAAAAATTTCGCTGAAGGCTAAACGGCGTAACACATCGGAGATAAAGCCTGTAATGAATGTTGGAAGGCCACAATGATGTCCAGTTCAGCGCTTTATCTTTCTTAGACAATTAAATTGGATCAAAATAAACGACAGTTTTTTTTTTAATGCAGAAAAATAAAACAAACAGAATCGTATGCATAGCACCATGGGCCTATAGCCGATGCATTAGATTTGATTATGTTCATGAGTACGGCTAAATGGCGATTGTTATCATTATTTCGCAGTGTTAAATCAAAATTCCGACAATTGTTGTGATTCATGAACTCATCTGGATATATCCTGAACTTAATAAAGCCAAAAAACTTTCCGAATTGTATAGAGTTTAAAAGTATGTAGATTTTAAATTAAAGTGAAGTTATAATTAAATAATTTAGGTCTACGCGTGTCTCTTATTCCAACTCATTTGATGATTGTAAGTGGTATCGATCTGAAATCAAATAATGACTCATCGTAGACAAAACGGGTACGATCAGACTGACATATCAGCAGCATTTTACGAAGTCTTTGGAAGGAAATATCATAGTGAAGATGTAAATGTCGACAGAATCGAATGTTTGAGACCTTCGTTCCAGTCCGAACGATATCAAAAATACTAATTTTTTATTTTAGAAGCACCTAAATATTTTAATATGCTTACCAATAATCTTTGATGCTATTATTTACTGCCCGCAGAGTCATAGCACTGACCGCACTTCTCCAAATTTCACATCGACCCGACAATGATGATATTGATTTCATCACTGATATCGGAGTGTCGGTCATCAACAATGATCGAGAAATATAGGTTGATGCATTGCCGTAGTACAAATAATCTTTCAAATGAGCAGTCGGAATACATTCCACATCTGAATGGACATCAACAACGTCTACAAATGAAATGGTAATTTAGTAATTATTCATTTATAATATTACCTGAAAATTTTTTCACTATTACAAATTCGATTAGAACTTACAAAACATATCACTGAATTGAAAATACGGAAATGTTCTCGATCTTACAAAAAGTATAGGAAGCATTATGAAGTAATATAACCTCTTCATAACACATCTACTTTTAGCATGTTTCAAAACTTTGATTCTTTCGAAAAATTATATTTCATAATTCGAAATGTTGATAGATGAATTTGCATATTTCTGAAACATTTTTGTATATAATGGCTTACGAAATTACTTTTAAAGTAGTTCAAAGCAGCGATGTTTCCTTATTGCATTACAAATCTTGTTTTGATTTTAATATATTCGGGGACTCATCAAATAGTTAAAGGTGCAATGAATATTCATCATTTTCACTTCAAATCAATTTTCCCTTACCAGCATTGTTAATGTTCAAGCAATTATTTTAACATTTTCGCTATAAAATATCATCGTTAAACTAATTTATGCTACGAATTATGTTTCAATATTTGTCGGCAAAAGTATATCATATATCATCAGAATTGCGTGATCAGTCAGCCAATTCCGTAACATACATCAAAAATAGACGAGAGGAATCTTTCCATTGAGTAATGAATTAATGACACTTCTCAGTTTTTATTTGAAGTATTTTCCCGATTTAATCAAAGTTTTTAAAAGGGACATCTCGATGGTTTGTTCAGGTCACATCGGAAAAGCGATCAGTTAATTAATATAATTACTTAGTCTCTTAAATTACCCCACATCTAGTCCTGAATTTTTCAATAAGCAATCTTAAGATTGATACTTCACCCACTACACAAAACGAAAAGTCTGAAATACCTCTAATCGTTTTTCAGATACGTATTCAAGCGCTCTATCCAGTATTCTAACAAGCATCACAGCAACACTGGCAATCGATCTCTCAGAACACATTTCAATCACTTCTGGACGTAGTTCAGGAATCTCTCCTTCATCTAAGATCCAAAGAGAAAAAAGTGAAAATACGCCTACTACAAAAAATTTTTTTACAATTCATAGCAAAGCTGGTAAGTTGGAACTTTGCAAAAAAATTGAGAAATTGTTTAAGAAACTTTAATAGCCTGAAAATCCAAGTGATTATTGGTTAGAAAATGATAAATCGATGTATCTCAAAGAACTACATGATGACCCAAAATAATCTTCAGCGGTTAGAGATGAAAAAAGTTCAAAGGGATGTGATAGAACCAGAACAATTAGAGCGATATTTCAAATGATGTAAAATTGTTAAAGGAGATCAATTCTTAACACATTTATTGCCAGTATTTTAACTGCAGATAAAATTACAATATATTTTATCGTTGGAGCAATGTTTCTCACTGCAGCAGCAAATCTAGGCCTGTTTTTGGCCACATTATTTCACTATTTATTCCCAGAAGATGAAGAAGAAAAAGATGAAAAAAAATGAAATTTCAAATCTCTATTAAACTTATGAGTAAATTATTCAATTTGCTAATGAACTGTTATTCATTATACTAACATTGTCATAAAAAAGCAGTGGAAAATGAATTATAAAATTTTACAGATTCTTATAAAAATAGATTAGCGAAAATGATACGACCAGGGATATATAAGTAACCGAGCACATGTAATCACGATTCTTTCCTATATGATCACAATGGACAGATATTCCACCCTAAATGATCGCTTCCTTCTGGTTCCTACTCGGCATTGTTCAAATACCTCTCAATCATATCATGACGGATGATTTTCGATTTTGAGCGGTAGAATTAGATGAAAAAATATTTAGGCACTTTCTTCTGTTGTAAGATTTTTTTGAAGAGAGTGAGAAATGACTGAATGATAAAAACCAATCTGATCCAGAATTTCGAAAAATATTTATTACTCTTCCAAAATATAAACTTGAATATGTTGTTGCGACATGTTGTGATTTAGACAATATTGGAAGAAAGGAAGACATATTCATGAGTCGAAAATATCCTACCATCGGTTAATCAAAAACTAAAACTATTCAAATCCAAATCATTCAATAGATTAAACAAAACAATCTGTTGTAATTTATTGTAAATGAAAGAGTTATAAAATATAACTGCATAAGAACGAGAGTGGAAATGAAGGAAGTATCGTCCATTAATTTGCAACAGTTGTCAGACCTGTTTTACGGTCTTCACTGAAATGGCAACTCAAAATCAGCGCGCTCAGAACGAATTTACAATTTCCAAATCGTTGCTGTTAAGACTAAAATTTGCATAACATTCCTAGTGCAGTGACGAAAGTATCGTACGTTCCGTATACTAAGCACACTTCGCCGTGTGGGAAGGATGCTGAATGGCATTGATGTGCTGTGGAATTAATGTTAGGCATTTTTAAGATGAAACTTTCAGTGTACCTTGAAATGAAATCATTGCAGGACAGCATTCGTTAGATCTATTCATTTCTTTTCAGATTTCCAAAATTTCAAATTCAACATAATTCAAGTGAAATGCGAATGAAAAAAACGACTCAACGAACTATTGAACAATTAATTGAATAAACAAGTCATTGATCAGATATTCAGGAGGACGTAATGTTAATGGAACGGTTATTCGAATTCATTATTTCATTAATTTGTGCAATTATTAGTGAAAGATCGCTGTCAACACGATTCTTTGATGAATTGACCACTTGTTAATCGTTGCATATTTCGATCATCGGGTGGCAAACATGTCCACAAGGTATTAATTATCGTATTCATTTCGTTTTCTATATCGTCGAACACTGGTACCTAAGAAGAGCCAAGGAATCGTCCAAAAAAAGCTATACAGGAAGGATAATAATTATTATGAGAGAATATTTAGTCGAAATAGTTGCTATAATACATACAGCAGTTAAAGACTTTGAAGATAGTTTAGTTTGTGTTTTCAAGTACTGCCAGAAAAATTCTTAAAAGGATAGTTCAGTTACTAGCAGATTCTTTCCGAAATTAGGATTTTATTTTAATATCTAAATCCATTCAAGTGTTATCTTCGATTTTTTCAACTTATTTTTCAGACCATCAAATTTCTATTATCCCATCTCTGGAGTGGATGCTGAAAGGCTACTGAACACGTGTGGTAGTGAAGGGTCATTCCTGGCTCGTCCCAGTGGTTCCAGTCCATCCGACTACACACTCTCTGTTCAGTATGTTATATCTGACTTCCATAGAATTTCACTTCAAAAACAAATAGAACTCCGAAAATAATTGTTGAATTTTCAGCAGAGGCGATCGTATTAAGCATGTCAAGATACAGAACAATGGAGACTGCTTGGATTTATATGGTGGTGAAACGTTTGCATCCCTTTCAGAGCTCGTTCAGTTTTACGTCGAAAATCCAGGCCAGCTGCGAGAAAAGGATGGTGAAGTCATTGTTTTAAAGTATGGCTCATTGTTTTTATATACGGAAAATTTTTAAATATGATTAGTTTAAATGTAACGTGTTTAAAAAGAAATCGTTTCTAAACTTATAATTTGTGTATTGGGTATTGAAATTGCTTAACTCATTTCAGATGTCCTTTGGTAATACCTTCAACGGAAGCTGTCGGATGGGCTTTTTCTCGCCCTTCTACAGAGAGGTGGTTTCATGCAGGTTTATCAGGACCGGAAGCAGAACGACTACTTCTTTCTGAAGGCAAGCATGGGACGTACTTGGTGAGAGAAAGTCATAGCTCACCTGGACAATTTGCTATTTCAGTAAAAGCTGCAGATGATAAAGTGATACACGTGATGATTTACAATAAGGTAATTTTCTTTTTTGCTTTTCATGAAAGAACGCATAATTAACTTATAAGAATCACTGCTATGCAATATTTTTGAAAAATTTGTTAGTAAGTTACTATTAATCGAAAAAATAAGTACAAATGAGTGGTATTGTTTATTGTATTGTGAATAAATTTGAACTATTGTCTTTTTTTCTATTCTCTTTGGGGTTTTCGCAAATTATTTAGAACGAGGTATTCCATATTATCCTGAAGTTGTTTATATAGAATGAGAAATATGATATCGGTGGTGGAGCTACGTTTTCAACAATCAGCGAACTTCTGGAACATTATACAAGGAATCCAATGGTAGATCAAGCTGGGACAGTTGTTAATCTTAAACAGGTGCCTATGTTTTTCAGATAAACTAAGTTCTTTGATATTGCAACGCAACGCAATTGCTAATATACTCATTGCCGTTACTACTACTACTTTTCCGCATAAAATTTATAGCTTCTCCCGTCAACGCGTGTTCCAGCGATTGGTATTGACACTCGTTACCATCGACTTGAGCAGGTTAATCGTGCCACAGGAAAGGATGGATTTGCAGACGAGTTCGAGGTTAGTCATGATAAGAAGTGTTCGAAATCGCTATTTCATTTGAGAAGTTATAACTGCATATTATTCTGATATCAACCAAGAATGAAGGATAAAGCTGACGAAATTAATAGCTAGCTTACTACAACTATATTCCAAACTTTTCGAGAGAAGCTGTCTTGCTGATTATATTAACGTAATTAAAGAAATGCTTTTTTTAGAGGTTGCAACATCAAGAACCGGCTCAGTTCGTGAGTCGACTTGAAGGGAAGAAGATTGATAACGTGTGTAAGAATCGCTATAAAAATATTATACCATATGATCATACTCGAATTGTTCTAAACATTAGTGATGCAGATTGTAGTGATTACATCAATGCAAATCACATCGAGGTTTTATTTATATTCTGTCACAGGACATTAATTCGTTGACCAAAAAATTTCGTAGTTATTTGTATTAATAACTGTTTGGTAACATTTTATTTACAGATGCATTAATTTATTGGATTCATTTCGACTTCTCCTACCATCATTTTAAAAAAGATTGCTTGTCTTTCTTTCATATATCTTTTATGAAAGACAAGAACTTCTGCATAATTTATTTTTTGCTTTGATAATTCTAGGTTCTTAGTGATGAATATCAGGATTTTGCTGGTTTGCGTCGAAGTTACATATCAACGCAAGGTTGTTTGCCGAACACAATTGATGATTTCTGGAATATGGTTTGGCAGCAGAATTCACGAATTATTGTTATGACAACAAAGGAAGTAGAAAGGGGAAGGGTTAGCTTTTGGGTTTATTGCGTTGTTATTAGCCTTCGTCGACTTGAGAACGATCTCGTGAAAAGTTGGATTAATTTTAATTTTCTGAAAAATCGGGATTGGTCTTTTTGTATTATTAAGGCTTAAAACAATTGATTCTTTTTCCATTTTTTAAAAAATAAGGTGAACACAGCAGTAATCCTATGCCATTGGCATATGTCGGAAAAAGTATGCTCTCCTTTGAAATTCAATTGATCCATTATGAAAGCAAGGACAAGCAGCTGTTGTTCCTAATTTCATTTGTTCAGATCAAATGTTGCCGATACTGGCCTCTGATGAACGAGGCAGAAAAGTTCGGAAAAAATAGCGAGTTGGTTGTTAAATTGATGCAGGTATCGTTTTTTAGTTAATTTAAGTGCCGTTAAGTTTTCCATTTTTTGAAATCTTTCTTCAAAAAAACATCAAGAATTGTGAAGTTCAGGTTTTGTTATTTCATAGGAAGTTGAAAATCCTGATTACACAATGCGAATGATCCAGTTCATGAATACAAGCCATGGTACAGTTTTATTCTTTGATCGATTTTCTTTCGATTTTCTTGCCTAAATTTTTGACACGAATAGAAAAAAATGATTCTGGATATATATTTTTCTATAATTTACCGTTCCAGACAATGAGATTCGATTGATATGGCATTTCCAATTTCTCGGTTGGCCTGATCATGGCTGTCCCACGGATCCTAGAACTGTTTTACATTTTCTTGAGAAGGTGAATGAATGTGAGGAACATCACTGTGACGAAAATACCGGCCCAATAATTGTGCATTGCAGGTTAAGATATGAATAAGACCTACATATGCGACTTGAATTTTCTGATTTAATTAAGCCAAAACATAAGTGTAGGTGATTCTTGTTGACTATTATTATTATAACATTTGAATTCTGAAAGTGAATTTATTTTTGTCCATTGTGATTATTATTCAAACAATTCCAGTGCTGGTATAGGTCGTACCGGGACCTTCATTGTAATTGATATTCTTCTCAACCAAATTAAGCGTTTAGGTAAGTTCATTCGCATACAAAATTTTACTTATCGTTTCATTATTTCTTGTTAATTCGTCGCGATGTATAGGTACTCGGAATGAAAAAAATATTTAGGGCCGCATTGCCAAATAGATATTCCGCGTACTGTACAAATGGTTCGTGAGCAGCGGTCAGGTATGGTACAAACCGAACAACAATATCGTTTTGTGTATCAGGCTGTATCGCATTATATGGCTGTAATTAATCAAAAGCTTAATTCTGAAGTAAGTTACATATAGTGCTTACAGGACTGTTCTTATATGCTTGTTAATAGGAAGAAAATAAGTAAGATGACATAGATGTATTGAAAACACTACTCTTTTCAATATGCATATTATTGCTTCCTGTGACATGAGCTTTCTTTCTTCTTTTATGTGAACTACAGCACATGTGGACTTAGAGAGCTTATTTCTGGATGCTCCATGACAATTATTTTTTACGTGCTTAAATTTGAAAAAAATGATAAGAATTCATTAAACAAGATGAAAGAATAAGGAGGAAATTTATAAAGATACAAGTAGACAAATATATATGTCTTTAAAAATTGAACTGAATAAATTGAATGAATAACCTTGAATAGCTGATTCACGCATTACATATTTATGTACTCAGTAACACATGGTTTCAGCGTAGGGAACGATGCAATTCACGTTTCTCGAGTGGATCAAACCCCGGGACGCCACTTTCTATTCATAGTCCACTAACTTTCATGCCACAAACAAGTCCCCTTTCCAAAAACTCCAGTGTATTAAGTACGCCAACATCTATAGTACGTTTTACTCGTTTTTTGAACCGTTTTAAATTTTCATAGGAGAAGGATCAATAGAATCCGAGGTGCTTTTTTGTAATGCATTTGAAGTGCAAAAGTAGGTTAAAAAAAAACTTAAACAGATTAAAAGAACAAAATCTAGTAGAAAAAATTATTCAAAGGCGAAGATTTATCGAGCAGAAAAAAATTTGTTAAATACAAAGTCTTTGCAGTGCAAGAAGATTTGATTTTAAATATCGCATTTTCAGATATTCTTTGCAATCCATGTTCTCGAATGATCACACTAAATGTTATTAAAAAACTTTTTTAGATTGATTGCGAACGCTACTATTCAAACACAGATTTCGGGTCTATGGCCCTATCAGCAAAACCGCTTAAATTGGCACCACCGCCTTTGCCCAAAAAACACGCTAGTGTTGGAGAAGGCGTAAGGAATGCTACCGCTGCAATAATTAATGAGAATTTGCCTTGAGTACTTGCCATTTGAGTTAGTTGATTTGTCATCCGCATATGAAAGGTAAAGAAATAGAATATATGATCGTATGAGGTATATTTTATAGACATCTGAGAAGAGAATGTAATATTCTGAATGCGACATTGCAATGAATTTGTTATTCTTTCCTTAAAATCGTCTGGCATTAAATCGTGAGGAAAGGTTCTAGTTTTATGTTTTTTGAAGTTCACACTTGTTGCGCGATTTTCGATTTTGTTATGTTCATATTCCATATTTGTGTATAGTCTTTTGCTTTCAATAATTTTGTACATAGGAGATGATTATCCACAAGTCCGACTTATGTACATATTTACTTTCAACTGCCTTCAACTACTCAAAATTTTTTGGGCAATTTTACTTCAAGATCTATTGGAATAAAAATGTACATAACATCGTGCCCGAGAGTATATATTGCTTCGGTGACATTCCGCATTTCCTACGCTATTTAAATCTGCATTTCTTTTTAAGTCCTTAAAGCCTTGCTTTCAAGATTTTTCAAGGAAGTTCCCGCTTTAACAGGCGAATACGTCCATCTTTAAATATTGTGCTTTTCTGATCGTAGAAATCGTAACAGTTGTTTATTTAAATTATACGATTACTTCGATCCTGGAACAACAACATCGCTTATCATCTGATCTTCGTAACATTTAAGTCAAAACGTTTAAAGCGCATATTAGCACTAGAGTTGAGGTTTGGACAGCATTCCCGTCGCTAAAACCAGTTACTTAATGGGGTTGCTTAATAAAGTATTAAAGAAATTTTTTTCGCCTTTGTATTACGCGGAACGATGCAATGGACAAGGGGTAGCGATAATGGTGTACGTCTGAGAATAATATTGGAAACATGGCCGGAAAAATACGCGCGAATGAGTCAAATGTGTCGGCATAGTCCTAAAGCCTATGTGATTCTAAATGATGACTTTGTTCGAAATATTAAAATAAACTTTGTTTCTAGTCATATGACGAGCTTTATTCCTGTCGCCAAACACAATTCCGAAAATTCCAGAATTACGATTTTAGGAAAGTCAGTGCACTTCAGGATTATTCTCTAATATTGAAGGTATGTTAACAGCTAATGCCTCACGAAATCATCTCAGCCATTATTTAAAAGTGCTGACAGCAACGAATGTTAAACACTGCAAAAAAGCTGCATAAATTTATTGCATACTCCGAAAATATATTCATGAATTGCTATTTGCCCAGTTTTCGTAATTGGCCTTGTTGCCGTTTAAACACGCTGCGACATTTTTTAGCACTGCTGTGACAAATTCAGATTGATCTGGAGTCTAACATCGATAGACAATAAATTATGTAAGAGTTTACAATGATAAATGAAATTCATATCAGAATCATGCGGGAATACTCTGAAATAGAGAAAAATAACTGACTCAAGAAATGAAAGGAAGGAAAACATAAATAAACTGCAAAAGACTTTGACATTAGAAAAAACGACTAAGGGACACAATGCTTATTTCGTGAACGACCGAAATCAAAGTAAATAAACCACAAAAGACTGTGACATTAAAAAAAAAACGACTACGGGACACAATGCTTATTTCGTGTACGACCGAAATCAAAATTTGATCGAAAGACGAGTTTGCAAATAGAACAAGGAGGTACAAAACATGACAAGCTTATTTTCTACAGAAGAAATGAAAAAGAACTTGCATTTCTGAGTCAGAGCACACAAGCAAAGTTCGAGATAAAACTAATTTAGAAGTAAAGATTGTAGAACAGCAACAGTTCGATAAGCGTTATAAACTACACTATAAAATTGTTTCAAGATTAGGATCAAAAGCAAATCCTAACTAAAACTTATAGCAAAACATACCTTTCCTATACATCCAAGAGAGATATTTCGGAGAAATAACTCTTTTTTCTTTCAAAATGACTTTCCTTACCTTTTGTACAAACTGGTTTTATCTCGGTTAAGGAATAAATATTTCTGCAATAAATACATTAAGGAAATAAGCATAATTCTAAACAGCTAACCTAAAACGGCAAGATAAAAAAACCATATTTTTGAAAAATAACAACATGAATTACATTCATACTATCATAGGGTAGACGTGAAACCACTTGATTATAATAAATAGACTCGCTACTTATCTGAAGAACAGAAGAGTTTTTTCAAAAAGAATAAATACTTTCTGAATGACTCGACTCACTCATGATAATTCCCACATCAAAAGTTTAAACAGCCATGGCGATTGGCGCATAGATAGATGTGTGTTTGGAGTGATTGCACTGCGGTGGAAACCAGTGTCTCAAGCACCACTCGATTAAATAAGCCAATAGCATGTAAGCAATTGTTAAGATTGCCAAGATAATGAGAAATTTGACTATGTATGCCGGGAAAAGAGCATTTCGTATAACCTGATCACACAGTGAGACCTAAATTAGGATGAATTTCGACTCAATAAGTAATAAATAGCAAATCCAGCTGTTACCTATAATTTTACTTATTTATTGGTATCCAAAATTTCCCAAATCAAATATATTCTATACTGTGCTCATAAGAAAGTTTTTCTTAATGACAGATACATCAAAGAATAAGCTTCGATAAAGCGCATATTAATGTATTCACCTCTTTGGCAGGTACAAATGAGCAGTGAAGTGTGGTACTCAATTGCTTCGAATATTGTATAAACTGAATATCACGGAGTATGACGGGTAGTTGTTCAAAGATGTTGTTCAGTAAAATCAGCCTAGCAATCAGGAAAAACGGTAAAGTACCAAAAGTCAAAAGATCGATTCCCCGTATCTGAAGTTGGAAAAATGATTATAGGCTAACAAAAGCTCAGGAAAATAAAAATTGTTCCATACAAAAGAGCAATTCTTTAGTATTCATTCATCGTTATATCGAAAGTGGACAATAAAAGCACTTATTTAGAAATAATGACTTACAACAATGTCATAAGCAATTTTCCGTGATGAAGTATACAGCATAAGTATAAAACATGAAGTAGACAACGCAACACACATACTACCCACAATCATCCACATGTTCTTCTTGTACTGAAAAAAAAGTGAAATTGGCAGATACAAATGAAGAGCATTGGTAATCAAAATAATGAGTGAATTTATCTGTATCTGAAGTCTGTGATACCGATCAGAAGTCCATGTCATAAAAAATTTGAACATTCAAATTCGAAACTTGCATTCTAACTTTAATTCTGCATCTGAATTAAATTAATGTTTGTGCACTTTATCTTCATAGTCTGTTCAAACTTTAGCATACTGCAGTTTACCAATAAATCGTAGATGACAATTTTTTTAATAATTTTAATCAAACCGAGTATCATTGCAAACAAATACAAATGGCTCACATCGGCAAGAGTTTCTACGAAATGCCGGAGATGTAACGATTCAATGCTGGGCGTCACATCAGTCATATCAACACTGGAAGCTACAGCCGCAAAAGTATGTAGGAATGGTATCATATACATAACATGGACAACAGCAAATGCGAACAATGCTACCAGCTTCACGTATTGAGCATATGCGGTCTGAAAATCACTGAATGCCCTGAATATGAGCTCGTTATTAGTGATCATAGTATGTTATCATCTTGAATTAATCCTTCAATGTGCTTATATCCCTCCTCAAGTAAAATGACTAATTTATGGTTAAAGTAATCTTCTTTAACTATAAATTGGAAACTAATACATAGTGACAACAAAGTAACACGGAAAATATCAAGGATTCACACAAACCTGACTTTGCAAAACTAAGCGAAAAAGGGACTGTCCAGACTGCGTAGATTGTTGTGCATTCATGCAACATGTGAAAGTTGGATGTCCGTTACCGTAACTTCTCGGAGTCTTGTCATCGTTTTTCAAAGGATGAAATGATTTATAGTAGTAAGGTGAGAGAGCTGATATTGACGGCATCGATCTCACTAATCACAATAAAAAAACAGAATCCTAAAATTGATAAACAATCATTATTACTGATATTATTAAGCAGCAAACTTCTTGTTTCATGTTTTGCATAAACATGCATTATGCACTTTTTTCATATGTTCCTCTCAAAATCATAAAAGGATGGAGCATACAGTTGCATCTATCAAAATGATGAAGTAGAAAACAAAAAACTTTAAAAATCATGAGTCATGAGCGAGTGGGAATTCTGACATTAGCAATCAAAATTGAAACTAAAAGATTATGATGCACGATGTATATCAGACAGATGACTAGTAGCTAACAAAATTCTGTTCCATTTAAAGCAGCCACTTTTGCACAGAAATTCATTTGCAAAAAGTAATACTTTTTTAGAGCAGAAATGAGACAAAAAAAAAATCCGAAATAGCGAAAGTACCACGGAAAGACGACATCAGAATGTCCTTCAAAGTGGACTTCGACCACAATGATGAACATACAGTGAGATTGAAAAGAAAGAAAGGGAAAAAGAGGAAGAGAGAGGGTAGAAATTTAAGCGACAAGGAATAATGTAGAATAAAACACAGCGGAACGGAACGAAGCAGAAGCGGATGGGACGGAATAATGTATAGAGAGCGCCCAGTTCATACATCGATCTGTGGATAGTGGATGTGGACTCGGTGGGACGACTCGGTGGAGTGGCACCTCCCTGTGGAATGTATGGTCATGATGCAAGGGTAGAGGTTCGATTGAAGGGGTGAAGATATGGACGCACTTAGTGGCAGAACGCGTTGTGGCTGATAAGTGTGGGGAAAGGGCATAGAAATAGAGACGAAGACGAGATTGAACCTCATTCAAAAGTTCAACTTGATCGAAATGAGGTCACTGGTGCTAATTTCGCTATACATATCCGCGTCTACTCAAAATATGCGCGCAATAGACATATACACATAGAAACATAGAATACGTACGTAGAACATATCAGCGCACATTAATCGTGGATTTCCCACATTCTCTGAGTTATGAAACTGGGCCTTCTTCGTCTATCCATCTTTCAAAATTGAATAAGGAAAATTGCTACAATGAATAATCAAAAGAAAATTGCTACAGTGAATAGCCAAAAGAAGAAGGCGATGAGGACTTTCGACGATACTGTGATGGTCGTGGTGTATAAATAGATGATGAATAGTAGCAGGAAAAACATTGTGCTGATTGAACAAACAATTGGGTCACACCTCCCCACTCTACCAGTAGAAGTGAACCAACCATAGCAATAATGCATTTAGCGAAATTTCTTTTTGTTTTTCTTTCTTCTATAGTTGAATCCACATGTATATTTCGGTGGAGCTAATTAAAAATAAAGTTTGGAGAAGAAGAAGTGTGGGAAATGTGAATAAACGTGAACGAAGCAAATGTTTTTTTCAACCCAAAATACCATAAAAATAAATGGTAGTGAGGGAAGAAGTATAGAAGAAAAGTTGAAACACATGAATGCGACCATTTCGAAAAGTTCGCAGTAAAAATTTTGATGAAATGAAAAGAAAGAAGTTTTGTGCCTTTTGCGCGATTTTTTTATTTATAAATTCAAAGATAGAATAGAAATAAAGAGCTCTTTATTAAATGCTATGAAAAGATTAAAATTGAAAGAAATCAAAAGTGAACAAACAATATAGCCGTAGAGTATCATCTGTTAACTATAACTGAAGAGTAGAGTGGGAGCGGGAAAAGCATCAGTCCACGATTTGAATGAAACTTCATATGAATCTAGCATCACTTGTTTCAAACAACTGTAAACAAAACAGGGTGACGCTTTTATTACACTAGTGATTATCGGAGTCAAAAACTATCCAGTCTGATTCAATATTGCACTCCTATTTATTACACAATGGATGTTAGAAGAAATGCGCATTGATTTGATCACTGCAGCTTATCCGCGAAAATATGTAAATCAAGATGAGTTTCATGGATGTCATGTGAATAGGCTATTCTATTAGGTTGCCATACGTTATCAAATAATTTAGTCAAAAGACCATGAAATTAAGAAAAACTGAAACTCATTTACGGGACTAGTTATGCTCTAATCTCTTGTGTTAGTAAGAGACATATAACAATTGAATTGTGCAATAATTGTTCAAATGAAAGTATTTTGATCAACAGTGCAATGGTATAGAATTTTAATTCTCCAAACTATCTCTGTTACAGAGTTGAGCAATTTTCTTGCAACTTTTAATATTATTCATTCACATTGATAAAGTATTTATTTCATTGGAATGGAAGAAGAGTACTTCTATAAGCTTGATGAGGTTTCAAGTGTCGTATTCAAAACATCAAATGAATTGCCCTCTATTTTCATGTTCCACAATTATACTAGTCTGAAGATTGTCGTTATCGATAAATGATATGATGATTTAACTAGAAAAATGATGTGTACGTGTAAAATTTGCAACTTGTTTGGGGCAGACAATCGTACGCATTAGTATCCACTTAACTGATAATTAATTGCTGTTGGTCTGGTCAGTGTGGTATACTTGATAGTGCCTGCCATTATTCATGCTGTCGTTCAGAGTTGGAGTGGAGTGGAGTGGAGTGACTACCTGCTGTCACGACCTTTTTCTCTTTTCTCCCATCCCATTCATCTGATAGCACATTCCTATCTAGAATTTCCCCTGAAATTAAACCACATATATATATATATATCCAATCCGTGTATGTATATGGTATAGTCCCTGACAGCCATTCGTAACAGTTGATGGTACCCATTCACATTATTCCCCTTCCGCTAGTAGGATTGCTAGCTAAGAGGATGAGCTGGACGGACAGAACAAGTTTAAGCTTAAGCGTCAATATCTTACAAATACGAAGGTGCCACCGACAATTTTATTTACTTTTTACCATTTTATTTATTATTATCTACTATATTACTAATACTCCTATTGTCATTATCACTGGGGAATTGCGCATTCCTTCAATTCATTACTACTATTTGTCATACACTTCTGACCTTTTATTTAGCTTGACCGAGATAGCAATGTGTGCAAGGTCAACATATTGCATTTTTCTATTCACCAGCATTTTCTCATATTGTGAGAACAGCAAAAACAAAAAAGACAGGGCACACAAAAAATCAATCTATCATCATTAAATGTAACTTTATCAGATCTTAACTAATCTCTACTTCAATTTTTTTTGACAAAATGTACCACAAGGTATAACCAGTAACAATTATGTTTCATAATTTATCTTATTAGAAGGTTCACATCTCGTAATATTAAAAAGAGACATTGCATGATGAAGAGCTGACAGTTACAATTCATTTTTTACAACATTTCTTATATGATTTCCTATGTATTCAAACTTATCATCTTGAAAGGGATGAAATTCTACAGTTCCATTCAGAAAGGAAACTGAATGGTTCCACAGACTCTTATCACATCTACAAAAAAACAACGCCTCCCTGAATGACAATAACTATAATATTAAGCAAATGAAATCATGTACTACTCCATCTCTACAACGATGAAATCACCACCCATATATACCAAATATTTTGTGTGAGGCCAAACGCTCACCCGAACCTCTTTTCCTCACAAAACGGGAACTGCCAATAAAGATCGGTACTCTTCAATATATTCTTTACGGTTTTATCTATACACGATACCCAAGGCTTTTTTCTTCCCGCGTATTTTAAAGAAGATCAGAATTTTATATAAGGAAAATATGTTTATATGTGATAGAAAACCTGCAGATTCGAATTTCCATAACAGTTTTGTTATTTTAAGGTTTTCAATGAACTTACACCTTGGCTATTCAAAAAACTCAAACACTCCTTGCAAAGTTATCGAGACTCCCCTACAAATTATGATTTTCTGATAACTTTTTTTACTAGTTCTACAACTGGCTAAGTTCATTCTGCAAAATAAGGGAGCTACTATCAACATTATCAACATGAACATTCATATATAGAAGTATCATCAAAAACTTCACAACATTTAAGAAAATTTTGATGGCTTCAGAGTAATTTAAAATTACATTCGAAATACAATTTTTATTCAAAACATAATTTTCATCCAGTTTTTTCAGCCAAACTGTTGAGTAACCAAGTAACTAGGAAACTCAGTAAATAAAATAATAGAGGAAATGAAAGATCACTGATGGAGATACTTATCGAGCCAACGAACGGTGTTGATTGCGCAATCTGCCTCCACGTCAACTTCTTCCAGGGAATGGCACGCCTCTGGATACGACAGAATTCTGAATTTCCATAATAAATGAACAGTGTTTCAGTTGCTCAAAGACTAATGAAATATACTCGCACATTATACCATTTTATTAGAAACATCGGTACCAACAATAAAGAATTAAACGTACCGCTTTAAACAGTTTCATTTTCCTTCAAAGATCAAAGAACAAAAATATCGAAAATTCTGCAGGAGAAAAAAAGTTTATTTTTCAAATACTGAACAGCTTACTTATTAGGAATTCCGCGTGCATTTAGATTACGAATGAAAGCTCGATAATGATTTACAACACGTAAATCTTTTTCACCAATCAAAAGTAAGTACGGTGTAACAATCTAAAGCATTCTTAAATCATAGCATTTTTCGTTCTTATAACAAAATCCTATGAAAATTTTCGTAAAACAAATTATTTTATTAATATTTCAAGTTGACAAAAATCCCGTCTTATTACAAATGTTCCGAATACTTTTGCGTTACTCTTTCCGTTTCACTAACAGTTTTTCATTTAGATTCCTTTCATAACGAAACTGCTTAATCAGTGTCTAAAGAATTCCCACAGTCAAAAAACAGGGTAAAAATTAAAAACCTTTTCAACATGAGCAATCGGCGAACTCTGGTACATTTTCTCACGGTCTTCTGCTGTCAATATCCTTTGCCAATCATTTACGTTCCGCCCGAGAGCCTCGACTACTGACCTGGAGAGCAAAAAAAATGCAGATTCTGATGTTATATTGCTAACACACGTGCATTAATTGTATTATTTTTCGAAATTACTGAGCCACACGCATTCATTTTTAGTTTTCGATGCTAATTTAAATATATCAGACGCACTATGAGTACAAAAAGGAAAAAAATTTTTAAAAAAAGTTTTTTTCTCGATATGTGTGTACATCTAATTTCGAAGAAAAAACAGAAAATAGAGTAATCACAGAAATGAATATAGCATTTGTAGATGGTAAATATACATGGATAATACCAAGAAAAAAAAATTTTGCTTGACTCTTTTTGTAAAATAAAAAACCTACCAATCCGGAATGTCCGACAAATCGTACATTGCTAAAAATTTCAATAAATTATTTAAATGAGCAACGGTATTTATCAGTACCATACATTACACATTTATTTGTAACCAAAGTAAAATCCTCTTATATCCCTCAAACTGGTGCATGGAATAAAAAGACAATCAAAGTGAATAAACAAATGCTAATCAAAAATAATTAGCTGTTACGCTCTTTCCATTTTGGAACATTATACTTTTCACCATTAAAAAACTTTTTCGTAATATTGCTAATCGTAACATACAAGAGGAAACTGATACCTGCAATATTTAAAACAGGATTTCGAGCAATGCACACTTTGTAGAAGTCCTGAAATTCTAAAATTTGTCAGCTTTAGCAAGAAGAAACGAGATCTTGATAATAATTCCTGCTACTGAAAATAAAATTGGAAAGGCAATTGAACATTAAAAATTACAGGAAATTGTCCAATCAGATGGCTGACAATAAAACCACCATGTGAACCACCATATACTGAAACTCGCGAACGATCTAACCTTGATTCCATGTCTAACACTCTTTGAACAGCAAACTGCAATAAGCTTAAGCTAAAAGCAAATGAACAGGAAAAGCTTGCATATAAAACTCTGTATTATAATTATTGAAAATTTTTAAAACAGCAATATCAATCTACTACTGATAAGAATCAAAATCTGAAAGTTTGCAAGTCTCAGTAAAGCCTACATAATCTCAAAAATAGCTTGACTTACATGAACATCTTTGACGTCCAAATCACCACAATTACCGGGGAGTGAATTCACAAAGTCATTACCAAATCCAAGCGATCCATGATAATTTACGAAAAGCAATGCATAACCGGAATTCAACAATAACAGAATCTCACACTTTGGCCAACTGAAATAACGAGAAACAACAACACACTAAAGCAGTTGCTCGATTTGGCTAAAGAAAAGTACATTTCTCATGCTTCAGTTTCTTGTCATTTCTTGCCACAATTTTTGCATTTTTTTTTTGAAATTGCACCGAAAATGGAGCACAGCTATGATTGCATGTTATAATACTGGAGAAAAAACAATAATAATATCACAAACAATGAAATAAGGTACCAAGCAATTGTGACGCTATGTGGTCCACCATGAGGTAACACAACTAGTGGAACAATATTGGTTTCATTTGGAATATAAAGCAGACCTTCATATGAACCTCGAACTGAAAAATTTAACAAAAAAATTACCAAAATATCAATTATAAAGATAATAAAAGGAAAGGAAATAAAAAGATCAGCTATCGGCTATACCAAAAGATCACTCACCTCCTCTGTCGAAATTCATCAATTGCCATGAAAAACCGAGTAATTTCAAGCGAACTTCAACAGCTGAGCTATTATCAAGTCTGGTCCATATAATCTGCAACATTTATATATGATTCACATGATTTCCAGAAAGAAGTCACGTGGTTAACTTATACGAGAACAAACTACTCAGTGGAAGTATAGACGCAACATCTCTATTATACTTTATTTTTTTGATTCTGAAATAGTGTAACTTCAAACTTTCAAGACAACACGCAACTTCCGACGTAAGCTGATAATGTTTCTCTACAAGAACAAATTTTATTTTTATGCTTCAACAAAAAAACAAGTACGAGTAAAAATATAATTACCATCTGTCCCGAATTAACTTTTGGAATATGACCAACAAGGATAGTTGGAGGACGATTTGGCGCGCTACAAGCCGCTACCAAACAATCTTCATTTACATCAAGTACCGTCCAACTTCCATGGAAAACGCCTAAAATATATAAATGCACTTAGAAATGCCTCATAATAAGGACTACATCACAATCCATAATTATAATATCATGCTAATATTTTAAATGTCTTCAGGTAAAAACAATGATTGCCGGAGCTAGAATATGCATAGTCAAACAAGCAGTTGAAACCATTATTAGAAAATCACTCATCTCTAAACCAGAGAATAATTAGCAAAGCACAAAACTCTAAATATACGGACTGTGCATACCGTTATTCGTAACTTTCTCCAATTTTCCTGTTTCCGTGTTGATAGTTACAATTTCCTGGAAATCAAAGAAAAATGCAAAACTAATGAGAAACTAATTGTACATACTATAGTTTCGCATTAATGCATTTTAAATCGTTTTGGTCGAAAAATTGAACTCACTCTTTTAGAACCCCACACTGTTGAAACAAATACTCGTTTATTATCACTAGACCACGGTCTATCGATTAATTGCACGGCATACAGCCCAGGAAATTGTTCACGATCTGATAAAAGATAATGACTTTGAAAAAAGTATAGGAGATCCATATTAATATAAAAGGAAAACAGAAAAGAATATTTTAAAAATTCTTGATACTTTTAACTTTTCTTAGCAACTCTATAAACTATTTAGTGGATACTAGTTCGCCTTTGCCCAGCACTTTTAATTGCAAGAAAATACAAACATACCGACGACTGCAGTGACGATTGGAACTAATAGTTGTTGTTTGCTTTTATTCCAGTCAATCTAAAAAAACCTAAATATCAAGCACCATAAATCCTTTCATAAAAAATAGTTAACAATCCAAGTCAACTGAAAGTGTAAATATGGAACATTTCATGATGGTAAATTACTTAAACATAAATATCATTGAAGTGTTATAATTAGTATTGTTAAGAATTAGACTGCTTTGCAATTTCTCGGAAAGACAGAAATCGAGATTTCGAGCTATTAATATCTATATCTATGAAAAACAAGCAACTTCGAAGTAGTTCCGAAAAATATAATGTTTTCATAGAAGCCTTTGCACATAATAACTGACAATGGAACTCACCAATTGACAGGAAACTGATGCGTAATGAGGTCCTCCAGATTGGCGTTGAAAATAAATCAATTTAGATTTATCTGGAGAAAATGACAATCCCTCGATTGAGACATTTTTATTACTTAATAGAATTAATTTTGCTGAACCCAACTCGTAATAGAATAATGTTCCTCTGAAAATCAAACAAACTAGAAAAACTGTTACTATTACTTCATATGAAATGAAGTGATTGTATAAACTAACTCCCTGTTATTGCAGTATATCTTTCCCAATTTGACAGGAGTACTCCGAATCCCAAAAAATACGATTCCTTCATCGTTTGGGCCCCAAAAATACTGTAAATTTTGAAATATAAAGAATGATCTATAGATAGAAAGATCTACAGAAAGAGCAGTAACTACTGAAAATGGACAACTCCAGAACTGAAACTACAAGATTTCAAAACAACTTAGAGATAATTCAGTCATTATGCATGCTTGGATAGAGAATACAGAACAAAATACTTCAAAAAGCTTGCCGCAGCACAACAAGTAACGAAACCTAGAACGAAGATTTAAACTGAAACGAAGAAAGTTTTTCAATAGTTCTAGTTCACTACTTAATGCTTCTATGGTATTGACATATGCCGACTAAAACGATATTTCAAACAGATGTATTTAAAAGCTGAAGCTTAAAACTAACAAAAGTAGGAGTAATACTGTCAGGTATTTGATCCAGTACAGTGATACTGCCACTCATAACATCAAATACAGATAGCACTGGTTCCCGAATTTTGTATCGCTGTTCGCCCCAGTTTTCAATAAGTTCATACTTATCGCCCTGTTTCAATTGTTATTATTTAATTAGCACAAAAAACAATTTCATTATTATTAGTGAAAACTAATTAGAAACCTCGCTAGTTATAACGGAATTGCTTTTCAGAGACTTATCAACTCCAAAATTCTGGAACACTTTCTATTATAAACTCCAAAACACTTTCGATTCAAATCCTTAAATGCTTTCAAATCCTTAAATGTACGCTATATTATCTAATTAACAACAATAATATTCATAAAACACTGCTAGCTAAACCACTGTTAAAATCAGAAAGTGATAAGAAAGATTAAAGCTGTAGTCATCTTCAGAGTTCACCTTCTAAAATTCGAGAAAAAGACTGAATAAACTTCAGTATATATCTACTTTTAAACAATATATTGGTATCTCGTCAATATGAAACACAATGTCAGGAAATCGCATGTCCAAAAGTACTAAGTTCACTTACAACATTAGAATCGAGAAACTTTTCTTCGTTAGTCCAATCCAATTCGACATCGTAGTATTCTTTTTTCTTGACAAACTTTTCGGCTGCATATAATAAATGACCCTCGCCATTCGACCATTTCAAACCGCCGAATTCTTCTGCAAAACTGACTTTTTTTATCATTTATGATAAATATTGCTTTCTCAATATTAAACTGAACTAGAGGAATAAGAAATAAAATTTTGAAATGTATGGTCCCAATAATTTTTTGCATTGAAAGAACAATAATATTGTTATTAATGGAACAATTTTAACTTTAACAAATACGGTTATGGTAAATAAGATTGTGGCCTTACAAAGTGATGGAAAGAAACGGCAGCTATACGAAAGAAATGTAACAAATCTCACTAAAATGATTTATTCATTTATAAGGATTTCATTTTTCTCAACCCGATCTTTTCTTTTTTGGTTACGCAAAAACATTTTTTCAACACCACCGAATGCTCACTGCGGCAAGGAAATATAAAACGAGATTTGCTACCAGTCATATCACTCTTCCTTAGCAATAACTACGTCATTGGGAGATGACTAGCTAATAATTTTTTTGAAAAATTCAAAAGATTACTTACCATCACTATAAATCAGACCATGTTTTTTTGGTGATGTTACATCAATGAAGCAAATTTCAATATGCTCCTTCTGGTCGAATACCTGAAAATTCAAAAATTTAATGCAGCTTTTCCTATTACAGTTGTATCGAATCCAACAGGATGATAAACTGGATATTTATTCTTAATTCCTATTTTTTTCTAGATTGTAAATGAAGAAATGTCACACGGAACTATAAGCAGAATATAAACAAAAGTCATTGTAACTGATAAGTCAACCCTAATTATTACAATGCAAGATCTTTAATTTTTTGCTTAGCAGAACACCAAAAAAAGCCAAGAAAAGAACCCCAAAAATTAACAGACAGACCTTAATGTATTGTTTCTTTTCCTTACCATCAGGTAAAGTAATAAGCGTAGCGCATCTTGAATCGCTCTGGGAAAAAGCTATTAGTTCTTCTCTAAACAAATTACTTAAGAAGAATAAAAAATCTTTTATTTTTTTCGGAACTCCTTAAATCAGAAACTTCTTAATTTAGTTTTCTTACCACTTCCAAAATTTTACTAAACTAAAGCTTTTAACATTCATATTCCATCATTTCATATTAATCTATCAGTTGAAATGTTAAAAAGATTACTCTATGACAGTGAGTGGTAGCGATGTTGTCGAAACGAGCTCATACATGATCGGTTCATTGGTTTTTTGCACGATCAAACTTGAACGCTGCATTTTCACTGTTTTCTTTAACTCCACTGCATGACTCGTCCAAATTGAAGAAATCTAAATATACTTTAATTCATTCACAGTGTCAAAAAATAGTGAATTAGCGCACATAATTTTGCCAAGAGGAATGCATACGCTATTCCTTTCGATTGCCAACAGCCAGAAATTCAAAACAAGCGTGTTTATACTGAGGCTCTAGTTGATGCTCGCTATTAGATTCCAACAAAATGAAAAGAAATATGATCCTCCCGAACCAAGATCAAGGAATATCACATATTCAGAAATATAACAGAAATAAACGACATGTAAAAAGAAATGATAAACGCACTTCAAAATATTTCCCGTGACGTCGTAAGCGAGCATTTTGTGGTATAGGTACCTAAAATAAATAATGTCGTAATATATGGGGAGCAGTCATAAAGACAATATGGTGGAAATTTTAAGAACTATTGTAGCGAAGAACTGCTTAAAATAAACTACGATAAATTACCTGCGCAATGTCGCGGTAAAGGTCCTTCAGCTTCTCCAAAGCTTTTAAAGTCATTTGGTTGTATTCACTTGCTGAAATATTATGAAACTCTTTTCCTCCCATATATTTAAGCCTACTTTCAGGATTTCTAGAAATTAATGGAAGTACCACACACCAGTTAGTCAGCTTTTTCTAATTAAATCTACCTTGAAGTCTTGAAATATCTATACGACCTCCCTAAACGCTATACAATTGATATATTTTCAAAAAAAAAAAAAATTGAATATGCAAAAAACGAGAACGATCTTCTCCACCTATCGTAGAAAAACAAAGGGTCATAATGTTTAAAAACAATCGTCCACATTAAAGCAAAAATTTTCAACGTCGTCCTTTCACTTACTACCAAGTCCTTCAAGCATTTGAATAATTCCATGAGGTAATGCTAATGCTGTTAATGGTGAGAGGGTTATGACTATCCCCGCTGTAATGGAACGAATTATCAACCAGGAGCTTATTATCACTTAGAGCGATTTAATATGTTCAATTTAACTGCTGGAATCTGAAATTCCATCCAGTAACTTGTGGTTATTATAGATCGTAGAGCTGTCATTATCAAAGCGAGCGTTCCGTCTCTCAAAAATCAGCTTTGCAGAAAAACTTAAACGACAATAAAATAATACAGGCAGACTTGTACACAAATACCTTCAACCACCTTGAGCAAAACCAATCAGAGCACTTCATTGAACGCTCGTAAGCATGAAACGAAATGCAACATTTTCGTCTACCGTCAATACACGATAGAATTTGGAATGATTTTGTCAAAAGATGGCGAAAAGCAGTATGATTCTGTTACCGATAGATCAGTTTAAAGTCTGATTGTTTATCACACAAAATAAATATAGAATAAATGGTCCGACACCTAAAGTAATAAATCATTTATTCAATTAAGATTTAAATTTTTATCTTATAAATAATTGCTTCGCTTGTAAGATAGCCGTAAAATGATTTGTTTTTTGCATAGCTCCCTTTGTTTCAAAAAGATTACAATCGTGAGCTGCAGCTCGATTTAAACAACATTGCAATATATAGTGATCAACTCCATCCCTAATATTATCTAATAATAACATGGGTGAAGAATAAATCCTCCACTCATCAATAATAAAATCTTTATCACAACAATTTATCTGTATCAGCCATCAGAAAAATTTTTTGTTTCCGAGCCGGGAGATGTCTAGCAATCTAATCAAAGATGCAAAACAGGCAAAAGAATACCGGAAAAGCTCGGTGAAATCAAAGAAATGAATTTAATAACACTAGATCAGCAGTTGCCAAGAGAAGAATTACGTAAAAATATAAGAGAGGAAAAGAAGTCAGCTGAGTCAAATCTAAACTCAGGAAGGGCTAATGGAGAAATTTCTGCTTTAGTCATGCGGGCCAAAATAAGTAGTCCTGATCACAAATTTAAATAACGAATTGTAAATTTGTTAATTCATATCCTGTTTGAAACCAAAATAACTTTATTGTATAAAAATGTTTAAATAATCAAAATATCTTTATATTCTTGTTATCTACGTTATACAAATTGTATCTGCCAATCAAATGATATGATATGCTTTGTATATTTCCATGATGTATGATTCTAAATAATACCGTTATCGATTTATATCCGATGATATCATGTTTCAAAAATGGTCCTAAAGTGAAAAAGAATTCCATAAAGAAATTCATAACATAAACTGTAAAATTGTTCTTTTGTTTGATTTTTGTTCATTCAGAAGTTTTAAAATTATCTGAAAAAGATTACTGTTAGGGCTCCAGTTAATACCAAGGATTTTTTTAATTTGATTTACTTCAATATCAGGATTCCTGATATTGAATTCCCCATCATTTGAAAAAAATTCCCTCATGTTCATTGAAGCGTCTTTTGAAATTGATTTCATTTAGAATCATATACATCAAGAAAGAATACAAAGGATATCCTATCATTTGACTGGCAGATACAATTTATATAATATAGACAAGAATATAAACATAGGTTGATTATTCAAACATTTTATACAGTAATGTTATTTTGGTTTTTTAACCATCATTAATGATTTTTAAGAGCTTCATTGGTTCCCATAATTTTATAATATTGTCAAAATAGAAATTCTTTTTGGTTTCAAGAGCGATTTGTCATAATTTTCCAAATGACAGTTAAAAGCAGCTGATAGTAAAAAAGGGAATGATATTGCTTTAAATGGAATTCCTTGAAATCGATAACATTCTATGTGATTTCCGTTACCTGATCTCGGATATTTCTAAACCAAAAAAACCAAATACAGTTTCTCTTTGTTGAACGTAACTTCAATTGTAGAAAACCTTTTCAATATCTGCTACTATACGTTTTCTATCATTCAAAATTGAAGCAGTACTCCTACTAATTCAGGAAAAATTATAAGTCTACGATATAAGAACTCGATCAAACTTTTCATTCCTTTAGGCATTTTAGAGCATTATAGAAAATTCTTATTTTGGTTAAATTTGTACTCATTCTAAATATATATGTGTGTGATTTAGTTACAGCTAATGAGGAACTTCTTTAACATCGTGAATATAAATTTAATCTATTCTTGATTGGTTTCGATTCTTTTTCAATACCGGGAGATTGGCTTCTTGTTACTTCGCTTAACTCAGTTTCTGATCATGGTTTTTGTTTCTTTTATTAGTGAATTTTATCTAAGGTCTGAATTTCAATTATGATTGAAATCATAATTGTCTGTACCAATAATCAAAAAAACTTCCATACTACTGCTTGTTTAGCTCAAGTATGAATAAATAAGGTGGTACAATGGTCTTCAGACGATTTGCATATTTCGTATGAAAATAATTTTTAACTTTTTCGGCATGAAGTTAAATCAACTAATGAAAGGCATATTATAACAAGCACCTTTGAGTTTTCATATTCATCAAGTCATCCATTTCCAATATTATATAATTCGTTTCGATTAATTCCTCTATATATCATTCTTTTTTTTTATTGTTGACACATGAAATTTTTCTGAATATTTCTTAATATGATAATAATTTTTGTTTGTTTCTTAATTTTACTTTGAAATAAATTTATTGTAATGCTCCCAAAGAAATTTGAAAATTTTATTAAAAGGAATTAGAAAACATATAAACTTTAACTTCAACTTCAAGAAAAAAAATTTCTAATAGAAATATAATTAGTTCAATTATTATTGTTTCTCAGTTATGTCGTAGAGGTGTCACCATTATAATCAGTGTATTGGATAAATGAGAAAACATTTCACAATAAAGATTTTAATGAACTTCGGCTGACACAAATATTTTTTAAAGTTTGATTTATGACGAATTTTTGCAGTGGCATACACGGAATCTTTCTAATTTTCCATATTAACACTGACATTTAAATAAGTAAACAATCATTACAAACGGATATAAAAGCAATAGCGTACTTTTCAGAATCTCCTCAATATTTTTTAAATGAAATTATTCTTGATAGATATTATATGTTTCGATCACATTTTATTAAATCACAGCGCCTATCACCCACGAAAAAGGACTTTCTTCAAAGTAAACTTGACATTATTTTTAATTTAAATTTAATCTTATATCATCTATCCAGTTCTTTTATATTCTAAGAAAAAATTTAGCCGACTTTAATCATTCTTATGCTTATAAAGCCTTACTCACTAAAAGCTTCTTAAAAGAATCCATTGTTTCATTATTAAATGCCTCCGTGTCAAATAATATCCTTTCGTCTTATGATTTTGATTCCTTTGCTATTAAATAACCTTCAGGCCTTATTTTCAGCGCTTCGTCCTTCTAGCGATTTGCCTGAATGATAATCTCGTACTATTATTTATAAAGATTGTGAGCCTTAAAAAAATGCTTACAGCACAACTTAATACAATTTCTTATATCTTCTTAAATATGCCTTTAGAAGGAATGACATTGCGACATCTTTTTTTCATAGGAAAGGAATAAGGTTGGTAATTTATTCATAAAAAGCATATTTATGTTTTATGCGTAACAAATCGAATCCTTTTAGTTTTTATTACTTTAAGAAAGAGAGCAAACAGTTTGCTATCATTTTCATGCTTAGCTGAAAAAAACAAAAATCAATTTTATAATTTATATTTCTTGCACTTTCATAATTTCATGATTATTCTCATCTAGAAAATCAGCATTTTGCAAATGTATTATTGCTAGTATTTTAATCTTGCCACCACTATACTCTCAATTTCGTTGACTCCATATTTTAAATTTAAATCAAACAAATTTTTAGGTCACTTTTTTGAATGCATAAGTCATTGATAGCTAAAAGATTATGCTTATGCAGCAATTATAATATATCTAATATTAAACTTTTAATGACATATGGCCTATTTCTTATGCCTTTTTGATTTTACAAATATGGAACGCTTGGCCATAGCCAGTACCAGAAAAGATAGTAATATTTGTTTACAGTAATGTCAAATGTGAAAAAACAATACTATTCAGTCATTACTCTATTTATAGCCTTAAATGTTGAATTCGTCATTTGTTTATAAGGGAAACTTTATGGCATCAAAATTAATTTCATCGATTTGTCTTTTTTTCAATGCAAAATAATTTGAATTAAAAGTATAGAATTAAGAAACACTGGAAGGAAAGAAGCAGAAAAGGATGATATCAAAGAATTATCAGTATTTCTGAAATTTGAAATCATGTTTAATTGAGAAAATTTATGGGAAATTAGTATAGTCAAAGCTCATTATCTTTTTAGCTGTTATAATGATTTGTTATATACGATAAAATAATTAATTAGTTCTATATTAATTATTATTGTTGAATGGAAATATTTCATTCATCATTTTTAAATCTTTCAAAAAAAATTTTAAGATTTCAAACATTCTGTTTAAAATCTTAAAAAATTTCTGATATGTTTACTTTATCCAATCAATTATCAATAAATGTTATCTAAAAGTTTTTAAAACAAAAATGAATAAATATAATAATAATAAAGAAGTAATTTTCTTTAGCCAAATATATTTGAATTCACTAAATGTTCTTATCTTTCCATATTATCCTATCATTTTTATTCCTTTGTTTACAACGAAGACTTATATAATGCGTATAATTAATTTGTAGAAATCGTTTTTTCATTCATAAAAGATTTTAAAGCATTTTAAATCATAACTGAACGAAATTAACTTTTGTGACAGAATGACAGATCGTTTATATTTTGAATAAGTTAATAAGCTTTGCATGAAAGCTAGTAGAACATATATCAGACGATTAATTTACACGGAAAAGATGAATGAAATGATGTCATCGTTATCACTATCATTGTTCCATAATTTATGCTTAAAAGTTATGCTATAAAAAAAGCTACGATGAAGCATATCATTTGGATGGCCAAAGAACTTTTCGTTGAGGAATATCAACATTATGTTCACTAGAAACTTTTCTAAAGTTTTCCATAGCTATTCATTTTTTCCATTTTGAAAATATTAAAACCATTCAGTCAAAGATCTAAGGATGAGAATTACTGAGATGACCTCCGTTTACCTTCCAATATAATACGTTTCCTAGCAGAATAAACACATCCTTATGTTTACTGCAGTGCTAATTGTCCATGCAAATGTAATGATTAATTAATTAAAGTGTCATTCATTGGTCACTTCTAATAAAACAATGTCTTATGTTCTCATTTGAAAATGTTACTTTCGTTAAAAGCATTTTGGCTTTAACTGAACGATCTCACTTCTGTCGGTCTATTAGCAGAACCATTTTTATTGTTCACTCAAATGAATCAAACATTTATTTATATCACATTTTTCCATTAATTAAACTGTTGTAATAAATCAGGATTAAACTATTCAATTCAGTATTTTTTTATTTCACAATTAAAATTCGTGAGATTGCAAATTCCGAGATATTATTATTTCAGATATATTTAATGGCAAGCTATTTCTCCGCGGTTATCTTTTTGTGGTTTTTCCTTCATTTAACCTCTGGCCCCGGATATTCTTGTATGATTTCAACTTATATCTTTTAGGAAGTTACTTAATTTTTTCCATCAAGATGCTTATGAATAGATAATTATAGAGAGCGAGAGAGAGAGAGAGAGAGAAAGAGAAAAAAGAGAGTAATAGAACAAGTAATCAGGATCGAAATTCATGAAGGCTTTTTTAATGAACAATTCTATGGATTTCAAAATTCTATTTTCCGTTGTTTTTTGGCGATATAAGGTAGGATGATACAAATACCGGGGGATGATTGAAAAGAGGGCTACCTGGAAGACCGGTTTTATCACTATGGATCCAATAGCAGCAAAAAGTCCGTTTTTGATGTTCAACTCTTCTGGTAAGCATTTAGCTTTTCGTATATTCCGTCTAGCAGTTCTCTTACTGACAGTGTACTTCTTATACCCTAAAGGCATTATATTTTGGACAGGAAAATCAGAAAGTATGGTAAAGTTATGCAATCAACTTTGCAGGTATCAATCTATGGCCGATATGCATTCAATGCTTATCTCTAATGGTAGTGATAATTCATTAACGGTAACAACAACAATAAATTCGCGGACAGTATATGATGCTGCTAATACTACTACTAATTTCAGTACACACTGTGATTTTGAATTTAGTCAGAAATTTGAAGAATGGCTTAAGGTTTGTTCTTTTGTCGGTTATAGATAAATATATATATATTCGATCTTTTTCATCATTTAATGACAAACAAATTATGTTATCAGCGAAATGTATGTATAATATTAAAAAGACCAACACTGATCTTTTAGACCATAGAAGAAAGTGAACATATCAATGGTGATCAAACATTATGGAAGTGGTATAATCAAAGCGATGATTTTTGCTTCTTACCTGGTCTCAACGATGACAATGAATGCCGACTAAAAGGTTTAATTTTTACCTTTTATCAAATTAAATAATACTTCTTATACAGTCCTTTTCATCTAAATTATACAATCAGCATAAAAAATTTTCTAATATCCGATAAAGATAATAGATATGTTCTGCACAACGCATTCTTTGTAAAAATTTAAATTTTATTTTGACATCTATTTTTGAAAAGTTTTTAAATTTAACAGTTTTAAAATGGCTTAAAGTTTACATATTCATAATAACAGGAATATTTAGCACGTACGGGCACAAATCAACTTGGTGGTATTTATGCTAATGGACGTCCACTACCAGTACATCTTCGGGAACGTATTATCCAAATGGCTTCGTCGGGAACTAAACCTTGTCAGATATCACGCCAATTACGAATATCACATGGTTGTGTCTCAAAAATCCTATCCAGGTAATTTCATGAGCTAATTCGGCACAACTCATTTTGATTATTTCCCTTTTAATCCAATTTCTAAAAAATGAAATTACAATTTTTTTGTCATGGTGAATTTTATTATATGATTCAGTGATTTCATTAAATTCGAATTAGCCATTTTTTGCAGGTATCGCAATACAGGCTCAATCCGACCCGGTAAAATTGGCGGATCAAAACCCAAGAAATTGCTTCCTCAGGTGCCATTCATTATTTTTTAGGAATTCAAGTTTGAACTGATAAGAAAATTCATATTCTTACCTTAGTCAATAACATACAATGAGTCCTTATTTTATCAGAGGAATTCGAAGAAACTGTTTCAAATCATAATTCTATTACTTATCACTTAATTTATACTCCATAAGACGTGATCAACTGTGTCGCCGATTATACTTTTCTTGATATTGCAAATCTCACCTTCCTATAGAGCACTTCATTTGGTATTTATGATAGATAAAAGTGATAATTTGAAATTTGAGAAATTTCTTGGTTGTGTCAGAAAATAATCAAATCTAAAAAGGTGGTGACAGCAATTGCGATTTACAAGCATTGTCGGCCATCGATGTATTCGTGGGAGATTCGTAGTAAACTTGTTGATGATGGTGTTTGCAGCGCATTTAATGTTCCAAGCATTTCTTCAATTAGCAGGCAAGCAAATCATTATTTAATTTGAAGAAAATGGTTGAATTGATAAAAAAAAAACTAAACCAAACGATTTGACGGATGATTTCGTAAAAGAATGAAATGTAGAAATTTTCAAATGAAATGTAGAAATTTGGGATTAAATAATACTTTACTTTTAATTGAATCCAAAGTCTACGCTTCAAAATCTTGGGAATTCTAAAATGGAATTGAAAAAAACGAAATTGAAATATTAGTATTCTAAACAGAACTATTCGAATTTCACATTTTCAGGATAATCAGGACAAAACTTGGCATAAAGAAGACAATTAATTCAACTAATAATGAAGCATTATCAGTGTCCGAGATAAATACCGGCAGCCAAAACATGATCAAAAGCATAGGCAAATAAATAAATAATATATATGATAATGTCGGATATTCTATGCTGAATGATAATAACGGTAATTTATCATTTATGAATTTCATACCAAATCCTTGTTAAGTTTTAATCTCATCAATTTAAATTGCTAAAAAAATGGTAAGCAACAAGTTTGTTGATCTAAACAGCATTTATTCGCTGACTCAAATAGCAAAGAAACCTGAAAATCTGCAATCCATTCACATTTTAACATTGAATGCTTTTGAAGTTTGTAAAACTTCTCACAGTATCATCCTCTCATCATTTAACTACCACCCTTTTTGCTGGCACGAGAAGCAAAGGATTCTGTTTTAACCGGTTCTTCTAGTAGGAATTGCTAACATAGTTTCAATGGATTTGGAAAGAAAAAAATTGTTCAAGATTCATCTGAAATTTAAAAATGTTAATTGCATTACCACTCATCTGCACGTAATTCTTATCACTAATGATAAGTTAATTATAAGAAGTTTACCAAGCTGAATGGAAATTTCAAATTTTTTTCACAGAATAGTCAAAAATAATCTTAATGACTTTACTGGATACCCATTCGATAATATATACAATGCTTCTCATGTTAGCAGTAAAGCTAACATTAGTGATAAGATGAACTATGAACTGTTAAATTTAGTGAATTTCATTACTTTGTTTTTTTTTCTTCAGTTTCTAATAACTAACTAATACATACATAATCTTTCATGCATTAACACGTACAAATAAATAATTTACTTCTTGTACTGCTCTCAAACAGAGCTACCTGTTGAAGGTTTGATCGTTGATAATTAATTTTTACTCGTTTAAAAAAATGCTGAAAGAAAGTTCAAACATTTGAAAATAGAACAAATATCTTTTTTGCTTTATACATAAACATTGTAAAATAAGGCAATGAATAATTGTTTTCAAATAGAATGTTACTATCAAATTAATAACTTAGAATTTTACAGTAAGATAAAATAATATATCGACGTGTCTTCTTACCTTTTCACGTCAATCGCGTCAAATACGTCAATTATTTTATGATTCTCAGTAATAGTGAATCTATTGCTGGATTCTTATGAAAATTATTAACTTTTCGTTTATGGTCAATGAAAAGTGTCTATGAAGCACTTTTTTTAATTTTCTTAAAATATAGGAGATAAATGAGAGAGAGAGAGAGAGAGACAGAGATAGAGAAAGAAAGAAAGAAAGAAAGAAATAATTAGAGGAGATAGGAAAAGATGATTTTGTTATGAGTAAAAAAATCCATTCGAGTGGGGATAAACTGGACGAACTAATTACTCCATCATAATAATACCTCAGCGGCGCAATTGCCCCCTCTTCAGTGAATATAATATAATGATGAAATTAAGAGGGATAGAGAAAAGCGCATCAGGAAATGAAATAGATCTGAACCGAACAAACAAACATACAAATTAAATTTGAAATTTACACAATATTTATCCGGTAAAAAGAAACTGGTTTTAAATCAAATTAGTTATCTGAATTTAGCTCTTTACATTGCTTGATTGGTCTGAGAAAGAGACGATTTATTAACAAACACTATAAATGGGACTTCCCGGGTAGACTTAACAAGAAATTTGAAACTTTTGAAATTTATGGAATGAATGGAAGAAAATTCACTGAGAGAATGTTTTTGTTTCTCAGGGAAAAAATTTTCAAAAATTATGAGAAGGAAGGCACAAAATGTGTTACATTTTTCTTAAAATTCAATTTAAGTAATTGATAAAAATATAGAAATAAAGAAAAAATCAATAGAAAGATAATCGCAGATATTTCATATTGACGGCTAGAACTGTTACTATCATATCTTATGCTTATTTTCTCGTTTATCTTCCCTGAAAAGTTTAAATGTTAGAAAAGAAAACTGAAAAGAATATTTTCGAAAATTCTAAAGTTAAATTACGGAACATAAACAGAAATTATTTGCTGCAAATTTTGCAAAATAATTTCTTTCTATCTTTGGTCTGATCATTGAACTTACCATAGTCGAATTCCGGATTCATATAATGCTGATCTGTGTTTGGAATTAAACTACGAATCACTTCATCAATAAATTCACTACTTATCTCATTCTTGTTATCTAAAAAAGTAATTCATTAAGAACGAATATCAAAACAAATGTGAAGATGAATGCTGAAATTTCGACATGATAGTAAGTGGTTCAATTCGATTAAGGAAATTTTTTGAATAAAACCATAAAAATAGATTTCCAATTATTTTTCTTCTGTTTCTGCTTAAAGAGTTTTATGAAATTTAACTCTTTGCTTTGTTCACGTTATTTCACGTCAGAAAATATTTGGACTTGCACAATTACCAAACTGTCAAAATCAATGAAGAAAAAATGCGAAAGTAAACATATCGTCATAATGTTTACTTTCATCGCTGCTCGATTTAGTGCTCTTCATCGAATAACTGACCACAGTTGAGTGCGATGTTGTTGATTTAGCTACGGGCAATGATCGGTCATTGATATCAACATTTTTTGTTGTTATTTCGATACTAGAATCAAATCATCATTTACTTGCATTATAAATGTTCTATAAGATTACAAAGTTAATTCTGAGCTTATTTTAAGCTATGTTCAGCGATTAGACTTATTTCAGGAATCGTTAGCCTGAGATAAAGCAAATACCAAGAGAGAATAAGCAGTCTGCAGAAATTCAAATCAGCTGATTGTGTTTGTGAATGAACTGCACGAGGAACTGCAAACAGCGCTTAGAGTGAAAAGGCAAGTTAGCGCATAACTGCTGGACAATTATGAAATATGAAAAAGCGGATTTTGTAAAAATTTCAAAAGAAGTAACTTACGTGTTAATACTTTTTCCATCTTCTTTAGGTTGCGCTTTTAGTAATAATTTTATTTTAGAATTATCTTCTTCCAATGTGATATTACGTTGAAACGAATTGCAATCATTATTTTCTGAAATGCAAATAATTTTAGCAAATCTTAACTTTTTTGAAATATGATTTAGATTCAAATTCAGTCTTAGACTGAAGACAGTGAGTCAATTTTTGTTAATGAAGACTATAATTGCAGATCCTGAAGTCGCAACAGGATATGTGTTAGAAATATTCAACTAATTCCGGAAATAAATAGTGCACTTATTGATTAATTATCAAAGTGAATTTTTTCACGAAAGATTTAATCAAATGTAATAAGGATACAATTAATACTATCTGACAGTTCAACCATTTGTTAGCTTCACTTCACTTCCTCCATTTTCTCACTATTATGATATTCATCTAATGGAGCATCTCAAAAACAAAATAAAAAAAAGTCGTCATTGAATGAGTGATTAAATTTGATAACAAAGATCTGATTATATAAGAAGACAAGAAACAAACCATTCTTTGGCACAAATTGACAGCTTTCGAAAAAAGGTGTGGTAATGAATGTAAACATAGAAAGTGGTGCCTGAGGACTATTGCATCGATCAAAGGTAGTGCATCCACACACTGTATATTGACTTTTATCATAGCAATAGGCCTGATCATGAAAAAATATTCGTGTTTCGATATCAATATTCACACATCCCGATATCAGAGTTTCATTATAGTATTTGTTTACTACTGAAATAGAGCATTTGACATTTTTTTTTCACACCGGTAGTGAAAGACTTATTAAAAAATTGAATATGAGAAGTAATGACTAGTAAATTTTAGACGAAATTCGAAATTAAATTTAAATAATTCGCAGTACCAATAATTGAAATATTTATTGATAGAAAATAAATTACCAATAAAGCAAATATCCCCGTGACAATTTTTTGGACAAGTTCTGATGCCAGAAATAGGTGAATGAGGTAGATAATTGCATTCTGCGCATTTGATACTGACGACTTTTTGCGTCACTAATGTTAGCCAAATTATTATTTCCAAGCATTTCTTCATCCTTATGATATAAATGATAAGTTATTTTTAACACTCTAATCTAATCCTTAGGCGCTTCTTTGTCGATTTCTTTCCTTACAAAACTGTCGTATAAAAATACCGTAGTAGAAGTGAAAATTTCGAATCAATAAAGGTAATGCAAGTAATTCCACTTTAAAACGAGTGGAACAACTTCCTTGAATATGAAATACTTAAAATATATTAGAAGCGGTAATGACTGATGAAATGGTGCTGGATATATTTTCCAAATAACTTCCTTAATTACCTCCATTCTTGCTAAATTATATTGCTATTAACAAATGCAACATGTAATGCAATTCAATATGCATGTATTGCTGTTAGCTTGTGAAAAGTAACCTAGCTTTTGCACAATGCGCAAAAATTCTTGCTGATTTTCAAGAACTTATTTCATTTAACTTATTGTCAAACAGTGACTATAAATATTATTGCTTGTTAATTTTAGAGGCCAGAATTTTAGAGTTTAAAACAGATTAGTGACATGAAAATTGTAAAGCTTCCGTGCTTTTTTAACTGATAAGAAAAAATAAAATTGCGAAACAAATATCAAAAAATAGAAATTAAAATATTCGAAGAAGCAATAAAGCCTTTCAATAAGCTAACTTATGCATTCCCAATTTAAATTACGAATATAAAACATTCGTAACATTCAGCAATTCAGTGACATGAAACTTCAATCTGAATAATCCGATAATTGATATTACCTGTCATTATTACATGCTTTTTTTACCGGAATAGCACAATTACCCTCTCGTTATCTTCAAAAGCTGTTATTGATTGATACGATGTTGAATAAACAAAGTATGATTGTGATTTTTTTTAGATCCAGAAAACATAACATCTATTTTGCATATCACATGAAAAACTTTCCGGAAATAGTAACAGAAAACAGACAGATGACTTTCATAAGTCATATTTCGATATTGTTTCATCATTTCTAGAAAAAGGAAGGATAGATTTTTGCAATATCAATTTAACAGACAGTTGCTATCATTGAAAATACTATTATTAATTTGCAAAAGGCTCATCTTTTTCAAATAAGCCTTGGTAATTTGTTGCTTGTGGACTTTTAAAAAGTTAAGATTGTTTTATCACAATAAGTAGCAAAAAGTGAATAAATTTAAAATGATTAAGTTTAGAAGCATTAAAATGCATAAAATGAATAAATTGAAATTTTATAAAAAGAAATCATAGCATATATTCATCACAACGTTTTAGTACAAACATACAGTAATGTCTCGAATATTACACTTCAATGAATGAGTAATTTAAGTATAAATCATAAGCATGAAATGAATTTGAATATGAAATAACTGCAAACTGCAAAGTTTTTGCAGATCCAAAAATACCGAATTAAAAAGAAAGAAATCAATAATTTTGAACTCACTCGATTTGCAACTTACTTTTTACCGTGCTAAAACTAGGTAAATCAACCCAAATTAAAAACTAGTTTCCAAATGATCCCTCTTTTTCTCTCGGCTAATTTTCGATCACTACTTCATACACATTCGATATGAACTCATTTCGCTCATCCCATATGGTGAAAAATGAAAAATCATTGATTGCAATTATGTATGATTGACATTTCACTCAATTGGCATAAATTGAAAGATTGCAAACATTTTGTAAATATAAGATTTCTAAAAAATATTACATTCATATTTTGATTAATAATTTTGGTTACAAATTTGGGATTATTTTTAATGCAATATATTCAGGATAAAACACAAAATATTTCACGTATAGTCAGGATAAGATATAAAATATTTCACGTATGATCAGGATAGAATACAAAATATTTCACCTATAGTGAGGATAGAATACAAAAAGTATTTCAATTCACGTTGCCCCGGAAGCTATCAATAGATTCGCATATAAAACCTTCTGCTGCAGCGTTCCGTGAAGCAAACGATGAACTGTCATTGTTTTTTGTGAAAAAATTTCGGAAATGTTCTTCTCCTGAAAAAGTAAGCACTAGATACCTTTATTTGTTGGCAAGTTGCTTAAAATCACTCATTGGCTACCATAACTAATACAGCAAAGGTATTCGATAAGTTATTTATAGTAAACATGAGGCAAATTATTTAAGCATTAAGTAAGTTATTTATTAATGACGATCAGTTACTACAATTAGTAAATGTGTCATTTTATATGTCCAATGGAAGCTCCATCTGAGACGTTATGTTGTAATTCTACGCTGCAGAAAGACAATGATTTTACCTTGTGTTTCAGGTGTTACCGGGCAAAGTAATATAAAGCCAATCCTTAAATCTTTCTCCACTTGCATTATGGCACATTTATTATTCTAAAAATTTAAATGAATTAGTTATTAAAATCCGATTCAAAATCAAAAAAGGAAGTACCAGAATTTAAATTTTTATAAGTCAAATTGGCTGTGGAACAAACCCTGCCTTTGATAAGAGATAACGCGGTGCCGAAAAAAGCGAAACTAATCTTCGTTTACAAAAAAAACCGTAGCCATTCATTATCACCTGAAATTACATGCAATTTTTTCAAAACCAATGTGTAAAAACAATTCAATCAACTTTTGATTCCAATTTTCAATTGTCTTATATTTTAGAGGGAAATAAGAAGCTAATTTATAAAGCTCCATTTATTAAAATAAACTTCAGATTTTATCAAGAGAAAAAAGTTGAAATTTTCTGTAAGACAAAAAGATAGATACGGAAGTTTACCGGATTAGCAATAATTGTAAATGCAACAGGAAATGGAATAATACCTGATGTGCCCGGACAATAAGATCGATATTTAATTGTTCACAGCAGGCAATTACAGTATCTTCACCAAAGAAATAACCAGCTCCACGAATTGAATTTCTAATGAAACCTTTCAAATCAAGCATAGGGTCAGACCATAACAAACTACATGCTAAGGGTGATTCTGTTGGATCAGAAATTGGACGTTTGATCTGAAATTTTAAGATATCGACCGATCATCGCAAACTAAGGAACATTACTAAGCATTCCTTAGCAAAATAACAATTAATATCACAGCTGAAAATATAAATAGACAACTCTGCAACAAAATTTAGTAAAATAATCTGCTGAAATATTAAACCAAATTAAATGAAATTAATTCAACCTTTCTAATATCATTCAAACATTTCAATTCCGGTCCGATACCTCCATGAGCACAAAATATTTTATTTTGAATTATTGCTGCAAGTGGTAAGCAAGCAAATAGTTCATTAAATGCATTCCATAGCCTAAATCCCTCATTATTTGCTGGAAATTTCCGCTCAAGCTCCATTTGAAAGCCATATATATGATTTATTTCTGATGATTCGTGATTTCCGCGCAACATGTTGAACTGGAAACAATTTTAATTACTTTAATTAAACAATTTGATTTTCTTTTAATATGAGTAGCATAAATTTGATTAATCATTCACCATTTTTGGAAACATTAATTTGTGTGCCAGGAGACAACAAATTGTTTCCAATGAATTCATCCCACGATCAACATAATCACCAAGAAATACAAAACGTCGTTTCACGGCTCCACTTTTCCGACCTATACCAAGAACCGAAAAAATTCGATGTAAATCTTCGTACTGAAACAATCTCTGCTTATGTAAATAAAAATTTTAGTTTGCAAAAATTGATTCAACTGAAATGAAAGAAAATAAGAATAGAATGAAATTAGCTATGAATTTTTGAATGATTTTGTCTATCGCCAACTTTTCCAAAGTATCTTTCAAATCTCATCCTTAATTGTTCATTGAGTAATTTTCAAAACATTGGGGAATAACAAAAGATTATTTGCAATGGTTTTAATAAAAAGGGAAAGAGAGCGGTGATATACCTGTCCATGGATATCACCAATCACAACACATGGCACTTCAACTTCCAATAGAGTTGATTCTGATAGAAATAATTTTTTTGCTTCATCCAAAATGGGTATCAGTTCTTGCAGCGTATAATCAATTGGTAAAAAAGCATAGAAATTAATTAAGTTTATTATAATTACTTTCTTCCACACTTAAAATATTTTAGTGAAGAGATGTGTTGGTGTTCTCTCATTCGCTAAGATTAAAATCATAAATTGAAATCATAGAGCATTTTCGATTTTATTCTCTATCGTACACAAATTAAACAATTTTTCATCTAATATTTGGTAATAAATAAATAGTTAGCCTATAATGGAATAGTGGAGACTGTATAGTGCACCTTTATGTAATACCTCTTAGTTGTAATAATTTGATAATATTAAATAATTAAGGATATACTTTCAAATGAATAAATAATAAAACTTATTGGAAGCGTAAGTAATGTGTTTCTTCAGAAAAGTCACAAACGTTGAATTTGACATTTTGCGAATTCTGAATGAATTTGTAATATATTTGAAAATTTTCACTTTTGAACAAAAATTTTTTTAATTCAAGTAAAATTTAGTGAGAAAAGAAACTGATAAATAATATAATGATAACATTTTGGTTGAACCATTTTCTGAATCTAAAAAAAGTTGCTGCAATTTTAGCGCAGGAACTGGAAATGGAACCACTCCTGGCGTTTGAAAATGTTTAAATGAATTTAAATTCTTAAAAGAGCTCTAAAATTTGAATTAAATTTGTGCCCGAACTATACATCTTTAATAAGGCTGTTTGGAACTGAAAGATCATCTAAGTCAATATGGGAGATTTGAAAAATCGCAATTTTCTCGTGCTATTCCTTTTCATCAATGAAAACAAGAATTGATAAATATCGTTAAAACAAGAAATTTATTAAAAAGAAAAAGCAAAGTGTGATACGATACCATTCAATTCAGAAATGAGCTTCAAAAACTTTTTTAAGCAAACAACTATATTTAATGAACCCGTCAAATCGAATATTTTTTCAACCGATCTGCTACATTATTTTGATCGACGAAACTTTTTCATGTAACATTCCAAGTCATTGAAAATGATTAAAATTACAGGCAACAAAATTAATGCATGGATGATTCCTAATATAATTAATAATATTATTGTCTTCCAGAATACAGCAACCACATAGGCTTTCACCATAATCATAGGTAATACACCTGAAAGTTTCCAAACTGTTGATTACTTTAAATTTCGGTCCTTAATTATACAATTAGATATTGTTAAATTTAACAAAAAATTGTAAAAATTTTTTACTCGAAAGTTTCCCATAGTAATTATCGACTATAAATAATAATATCACTTACCCAATAAAGTGCTGAATCCCGACTGAATCACAGGCCATCCGACACATTTGAAAGTAACGAGGAGTTTTTCTCGAGTACCAGTACTCAAACTATTATAACGATTGCCACTATTGATTGATGGTAAAGTCGATAAATCTCTGACATTTGCATCGGAACCAACAATAATGGAAATGGGTTGATGACAGGGTTCCTTCGATCTCTTATTATTCTACATATTTACGAACAAATTAAAGTGTGAATTAAAATTTTAAACTTGAGAAACTTCTCCATCAATATAATTTAAATGTACCTCACATAATACAGTGAATACAGTGAATCGATCAGAAATTAAAAATTTCACCAAAATTAGTAAAAAAAGTCATGTATAGTTCAAAAGTAGTATAATAACAAGTATAAGAAGTGAAATTTTGAATATAAAATGATTGAATAAAAAGTGGGAATACGTTTTGTGCAAGATAATGATAACAGATATGAGCGCTATAATCAACCGAGAAGCCAATACTCATTAGCATACTGATCAGAGAGACCGCATCCAATCGTATATTCCATAAATGCAAATATGCAAGTGCGCCAAAGCAAATGGATAGAATGGAAATAACAACGGCTGCTACAGCACATAAGTCAGTAATAAATAAGTAAACTAAGGCTGACATTAAAACCACCGCAGAAACTGCAATAATTGTGAATTTAAAATATGAAATGATTATAAATATATTTGGAATAATTAATTAATGAATAAAAAATACATTTATATTTGACGCTTTTTTCATTCTCTCTTATCATTCACTTATATCTTATCTATTCATTTAAAAAAAAATTTAATATGAAGAATTTTTATTTTGCAAGATTATTTAAGATTCATTCATAAATAGATTTCAACAGATGACAAACATGAAGTTTGAATAAAATTAGTTGCTGCACTTGTTGCTGATTCAGTTGGAACTTTTTCTAATGGATGATGTGAGCGAACATTGAAGAATTTAGCATATTTCGATATTATTGATCGCCTAAATTAGCAGTGATAAAACATTAACACTCTGATATTGATGATAAAAAGGATAGCTGTAGAAAATTTGAAAAATTTTTGCATATTTTGACCACTGTAATAGTTTGTTGGAATTTATTTGAATTATTTATTCAAATAAAAAAAAAGACTTGTGCCATTATGATTATTATTATCATTGATTATCACATTCTTTCATAATAAAGTATTGATATTTATTGATTAAAAGGGAAGAGTAGATGAAATCTTATTGATGTGCCTACAAATAAAATTTCTTGAAGTATTCTTAACTCAATGTTTCAAATTGAAATTTGAATAGCGAGATCAAAGGAAATTATAAGATTGAATAAAGGAAACCTTTGTTGCATAAGCTTTTGTACATCAAGAAAGTTGTTCATATTACGATAAGTTATTAACCAAAAGAAACCGGAAATTACTTCCACACCATTCTCTCTCTTTCTGAAAACTATTATTTGCTTTATGATTGATTGCACCAATTTTTTCTTAATTTTGCTTTTTGGAATGTATAAATTCATTCATCAAAATTGTAAATAAATTTCTTTTTTGTTGAAAATCTTACGAATTGCTACTATCATAAGATTTTTTGCTCTATTAATAGCATTTTTATTTTTTGTAGAAATTAATCAATTATCTCAGAGATGAAAGCAATAAGACATAGGTTAAAATTCTGTTTCCGAAGAAATTGTTTGTTGTAGACGCTTCCATTCAAAACACTCGAATTCCCCTTAATAGGCAATGAGAGGAAAACACATCCAGAAATACGACTAACCCAATTCATTCATAATTCTTCAGAAATATATGCTCTGAGCTGAAACAGTGAAAGTGGACATAAAAACTGTCCACTTTTTCGGGATATAACGATTTAGAGGTAGATTTTTTCCAATATTTCACCTGATAGATCATCTGACTAAATCATTTTTCATATTTTCACACTCAATTGATTATCCATATGCTAGATAGTCGAAAAAATTTTTTAGTAAAATATATGCACTGATTAGCAGGACTAATAGAAAGAGAGAAACACATTGTATTTTCTAGGGTAAGCATTAATTGGAATTAAGTCGTTTTAAAAGATGTTCAGAATAGAGATATCAACTCATTTCAAATTAAAATTCAACCTTTCCTGAAGAACGTTGCAACAAAATATTAAGCATAAGCATTCTTTTTAAAAAGTGATTGTACATTTGAAAATTAGAAGGACAATGACTAAGTTATCATTTCAGTCAATAACTTTTTAAGTGAGCCAATCATTGGCCTAATCATTGCATACATTTCTTGGCTGCAACTGCTCTTTAATTAATTTACCATTCAAATAAATATAATCATAAACCAACTCAGTTGTGATAAACTTTTCCTCCATTTCGTACTTTCGAAATGTTGAAAGTAATTTGTCTTCTTGCCAGAAATTACTTTCTTCATCCCAAAATGCTACTGCCTATAGAATATAATGGCAATATTTATCTTATGATTAAATAATGAAGCTAATTATATCATTACATTTCAAATAGAATTTTGTTAAAATAAATTATTTCTTTGTAATCATTTCTTTGAACTATTTCTCTAATTCTATCATTGCTTCTCGGATTATTTCACAAACTAATAAAGTGAATTTGATTAGTTTCCATCATTCTATAACATTTTTTCTTCCTTAAAATTTTTGTGCTATAAAAATTGGAAAAATTATAGTAAATTCTACTAACATCAGCAAAATCCCTAGTCCACAAGACAGTTCCATCTGATCCCATACCAAATTTTGGTATTGTTTCCAGCTCTTCGATTAAACGATCGAATTTATTTCGAATGAAAATATCAGTAAAATCCGGCATTGGATAAAGAGCGAAATTGACGATGAATGCTTCACTGAGAGTAAAACGTTGTAATTGCCGTGAAATTGCATTCATATTTGAATTTTCCAAGTACAAATTTCCCATATCAAAATCTGTATTCACTTTTGTGCAAAGATACGATATTACCTGAAGTTCTAATTTAAATTCAATTTATATTTTGCAGATTAGAGAAAATTAGCAAATGAATAATTTTGGAGTAAAATGAATTCAGAAAAAAATCTTTCAAATCAAATATAATTCTCAATTTTAACATTTCGCTACTCTCTTAGTTTGAATTTAAAGGTTAGATTTACAGTAATATCAGTACAATGAACTTTTTTTTAAACTGAATTTGAATGTTTGAAATGAATTTATATTATCTTCCAATTACTTTTATCATAAGAGAATATGAAAGTATCGCAAGAAGTAAATGTAAAAAGAAAGAGTAAGCGATCGATTTCTTTTTAACTTACGATAATGTGAACAATAAATGTTGCAATAACAATGAATTTTGTAAGTGGTAAATGAAGGAAATTGACAAATTTTTGTAAGAAAATTTCTTTTTTCGATATTTTCTGCAACATTTTCAACGATAAAGAATTGCCGCCATTCAAACAATATTTTGTAATACCAACGTTAGCAGCGTATAGTTTATGCAAATCTTTATGTTTAATTTTTGAATTCAACCCATTTAAGACATTTCTCGATTTAAGATTCTGCAAAAAAAATGATACACTGTAAATTACTTGTAGATTACGATATCATAGGCGTAAATATTGTCAAAATCTTTCAATTGTATGTTGCTGCAAATTTCTTAATCAATGGTCAGATATTATATCAAATACAGCTAACTTCCATAAACAATTCTAAGTCTTACTCATCGTTAAGAAATTTTCACGAAATCGTATATGAACTATTGGTATTGCCTAGTTAGTCATCAAATAGAAAAGTTTTCAGGAGTTTCACATTAGATTATGATCAGTCAGTTACCTGGAATTTCTAAACGCTTCGTTTATTATCAAGCATATCCTTACGTCAAATGTAGAATATAATATCTTACATGTTTAGAATATAATGCTTTTTTTTTGAGATGATTCATTCTTTGTTTTCCACTGTATGCAACAACGGCGGTAAAAAATGTAATCTGAAATAATTATAATTTATAATATTTTAGAAAATTAAAATATGACGAATACAGAGAAGAAATAAACTGAAGATTTAATACTTTTGTAATTATCTATTATTAGTATAATTGAATCTTTAAACTTTATTATCAAATATTCATTCATTTAAAATACCTGATAAATGAAGTCAATCATAATTGCGACCGAAGTATAAATACAAAATAATTGTACAATAGGTAAATTTGAAAGTAGCCCAACTACAAAACATAATACATCGGTAAGAGAAGTTACTGTAACACTCGTACCAGAATGAGTTAACGTTTCACCCATTCGTGTTTCAAGATCAGAAGTTGGGCTAGAAGTATAGCAAAGTTAACAAAGTTTGCAAGCCATTCAGTTATATTTGTATAAAAATTAAACGATAATTAAATCATTTTCTTATATTATTAAATTTTCAATTTTAAAAGTTATCATAGTAATGAAAACTTTGAAAATGTTCAAATAGGTGCTTACTTTGAATGTCGCCATGAAGCTAATATAAGAAATGCATCATCAACGCCAATTGTAATAACGAGAAAAGGTACAACAGTTAGAATATTAGAAAATGGTAAACCGATACCCCATAAAATACCCCATGAAGTAACTAATGCCATTGTTGGTGAAAGTACCGCACAAATAGCCTGAAATTGCTCATTTTTAATTTTAATCTCCTGAAAATGCTATTTTGAGTATTATTAAAATATTTAAAAGAATTTTACCTCAATATGTTGGCTATTTCGAAATGGAAAATCGGTCAAGCTCATGACCATAAATGCAATTAGCATTAAAGCAGTTACGCCCAGAAATGGTAAAGAAGCAAGCGTTATTTTACTCTGCTCTTCAATTTCACGATCTCTGCTGAATAGAGCATATTTTAAATCCTGAAATTCCTCATTTTACATCTTTCAATATGTTTCAATATTTTTGATGTCATATCAATTTTCAGTTTTTCAAAATAAGATAACAATTTAAATGAAATAATTTCAAATAGCAAAAAGTATTCTTATTTATGCGTAAAAATACAAAGAGCTTTATTTTTTAAATAAAACGAAATTTTTAAAGAATCCATTTCTATAATTTTGGTTTTGATTCCTTTTTGCATAAAATAACAATCCTATTTTTTAGCATTAAAGAATAAAACTTTTCTTTGCAATATTTCTTTACCTTTGATTCATAGGTAGCCAATTTAAGCAATGTTCGCAATTGTGATTCAAAATTTTTTGCAATCCTTATACCATTCGGAAGATTTATATCTATCTGTTCAAAAATCAAGAATTAATGCTTTCCAAAAATGGAATAATTTTTAAATTATAAATTCATAATTTTTGGTTAACAAATCTGAGTATCGTTTCTAACCATAAAATGAAGTTTGAAGAGTTTGAAGCCATCAACGACTGTTGAGTCATGCTTAGAATAATGCAAATTACCAACAGAGTATCTAAATATGTGCAAATGATAATAACATATCAATAACTTGAAGGAAAATTATTCTTGCAAGAAGTAAACTTTAAAATTCAAAATATACTTTTAAATTTCATTACTAAAAATGCATAAAACATTAAATATACACCGCACTAATAGGGAAAACATTCAATAGAAGCACATAACATTTTTAGACACAAATTTTAAAGTTAATTGGAAATGAATAATCTAGAATAGCCCATACCCCACAAAAATACGTTTCTCAAATATTCTCGCCTTTGGAAATGTAAAAGCTAATGATGATGAAGATCGACCGTTCATAGTGATTGCCGCCTGAAAATTTTACATCGATACCTCGTGCATTGCAAGATAAAATTCATATAATTGTATCATAACTATTTTGGATCATTATATCTACAGGAATATCTCAGCTGAAATTCTGAATTTTGACTTTGACCTTTAATTAAAATATAATCAACTTTATAATTTTTGACCTCACCATTATTTTATTATGGAATATTGCTATAGAACAGATAAGTAAATGATAAACCTTTATAAAGGTAAGAACTATTTCATTGCTCTCATTGCAATAAATACCGCAAATGTTATGATAGGCGAAATTTTTGAAGCCATTACTAATAGTTACATTGTTAACTATAAATCTATCCATCTTTAGCAACTCATCCATATTGTTATCATTCATTAAATTACCGCCATCTTTACGATTTACCAAAATTTGCATCTAAAACGGAAAATTATCATTAACGATAACATTTTGTATTTTAATCATTCAGATCAAAGAATTGGAAAAACAGTCAATAATTGCTAGTATTATTTTAATATCACTTAGGCACTGCAATTATACATTCACGCATAGAACAGCATACCGTAGTGTATTCATATGTGATTATATATAATTTATTAGATATTTGATTATATATAATTTATTAGCTATGTGCAGTAATGATATACATCGATTTAGTGAAAGCAGAAATTGTAAATCATTCAGTTGTTCGCAGTTCTCAAAATTTGAAACTAACAAGGAGACTAGTTTCTGCTTAGCAATAGATAACGATTTCTTGAGAGGAAATCCTAGCGTTACGCAAAATTTCGAATAAAAATTTCTAAATTTTAATTTCTAGGAATAGCAAAAAATTAACATTTCCATTATTTTTAACAAAGTATCTGATTAGTTTGCAAAATTGTAAAATGTTAGATAACATAAATTCTTATAAAATATAATTGGAAGGAAGTCTCTATGATTCTGCAACAGAATTGCATACAACAAGAAATAAATTTCCATTCAAAATTCTAAGTTTATAAATTTCTTCATTATTTGTAATTAACGTTTTTAACAATCTCTTTTCATTATAATTAAAATTTTCGAAGTGTAATCGCTGTAAACTTCCGATATTCAATTTCCATATTAATATTTTTAAAGTTTGATTCTTTTATTAATAAAAAAGAAACAAAAGATAAACATTTTAACAATGTATGCAGCTCTATTCAAATTTCCACCGTAATCTCTTTCTCAAAATATTTTTAAAAAATTCATTTTTTTCTGCAAGATCATTAAATTTTGAATTCTTGAATTAATTTAAAACAGTCATATTATTATTATTATATTTCGTTTGCTATTTAAATAAGTGAAGTGATATGTCGTAAATCGTTGCAAATGGCTCATTCATAAGTGTCAACAAGAATTTCATTCATTAGGAGAAATGAAATGTTGGTGATAAATTAATTAATAAAAAAATAGTTGTACTAATGCTTATTAAAATTATTTTTCGATGATTGCATTTTACACTTTTATAAAATTAAACAAATTTTGTCATTTTAAAAATAAGAGGAAACGCCCACATTTCTTCCATTTGATGAAAGTTTTTTTAAGTGAAATATTTTGGTTAAATGATGAAATTTTAATCATTAACCAATGAAAGAATTATAGAAAATAATGTTGAAAATGTTTGTAAGTTTCCATTTCTTTTATTTTAATTATTTTTTGACCAAAAGGGATGTGAAGAATAATTGAAGAATAAAAGCAAAAGAAAAGTTATAAAATTAATTTTCAATATTTAATTTTTCTAATTTACATATTAAATAATTACTCTGTAATGATGCACACCGCTAGCATATTCAAAACGTTTCAACGCTTCTTCCTCTACACGAGACAACCCATTTCTTGGTGAATAAATATTCCAAATGTCATTATTAATATGAAATCGAGGCAATCCAATAGATGCAAATAGCGTTATAATAATCGGCAAAAGCTGAATTTCAATTACAATTAGCTTTTCACAAAAGAAAAAAGAATAAAGGAAACCTTAAAAGTTTAATTTAATTTTAAAGATTTAGATTTTTTTTCTTCCATAACAAAAAATTCTGATTAAGCAGAAGATTTACTTTTTCCATTATAAGAATCTCGATGATATCATTCTTATCATGAAAAAAAAGAAGCTTCCAAACATATCAATTACTGAGTATCTCTGTTTAGTAGAATTATCTATCCATCATGGATTTGTATCACTTAGAGAAGAATATAATAAATTAAAAAAAAACTAAATTAAAATGAATGAAGTAAAACAATAGCTCTTACCAGAAATGGCTTAGGATGTTTAGCAACATAACGTCCATAACAATCATAAACGCTTTCCAAAAGTCGCATCTTATTTAAACTAAAAAATTAAAAAACTTATCAAATAAGTATTTTAAAATTACAACATTACTGTAATCATAACAATGAAGAATTATTTCTTTTTGTAAAGAACGATGAAAAAATTTGTGTATATTTCCCAGTAATTGTATTTTCATATATTTCCAGTTCAATTCTAATTTTAGTTAAATTTAATTTTAAGTGAACATAAATTATAAATTAAATTTTTTTACTCCAAAAATTTAAAGTAAACGCACCAAATCAAATTCATAAAAAATTGAATTTGGAAGCGCTTTTTTTCGAATTAATCAATTAGGAAAACAAAAGGAAATTTTGTTATAATTATATGGCATTAACAAACTTACCTTAACTTAAACATTTTCGAGTAAAATAATTGAAATTACAAATAGCGTTTCGACAAAATTAAAAATAGGCCAACCAAATGAAATTCATTATTGGCGTGACGTCTGAGAAGTCATACAACTAAATCACACCTCTAAAAATAAGCAAAAGCAATTCTGTTATAAAAGAGCATGAAAACCAGTGTCCTTGGAAAATTTGGAAAATAGTTAAAAAAGATAACGAAGAAGATAGGATTGACTGAAGTGCTATTTTCAAAAATAATCTGAGAGATAAATCGACCGAAAAGGAATTCCTATTAAAAGTAAAGTTTTGGAATTATTAAAATTATCCACATATAGGTGGATTAAAAACAAATCAATACATTATTATCATTCAACTACAACAATCATCAAATAATATTTATCGCAATAAGGGAGAAAATTTTTTTTCTTATAAAAATATAAATTGTGGCAATGAGATCAGTTTGCATAACTTTTGCGCCCTTTGTTTTATATATTTCTTCCAAATGAATGAAAATGGTTGAACAAAAAAAAGGGTCAAATAAAGAAATTTTTGAAATTAAAAATTGAAAAAGAAATTAAATTATTTTTATAGCTAAATTTACTGACAAAAAGTTTTATTCTTTTTGAATTTCATCACAAAGTTCTTTATTTGTTTTGAAATTGTAAATTTATAGTAAGAAAGTGAAAATAAGGATGCGATCATAAAATCCATTTTATTTGAACAAAAAAAAAACTTTGAATTTCAAGAGTATTTGTAAGAAATGTCTGAAGAAGTGTTTGGTAAATTTGGAAGAGAGTGAAAAAGCCTGATTTCCTTCCAACCTGTTTCGTGAATTTTTGCAATTATTCCATTTATTTTTCTCTAATGGATGTCATCGAAGTTGCAAGCAATAAATGTGAAAGTTTGTACTTCATACTATGTTATCTGTGTATGTGTGTGTAGGCATGTTGTGAATATGGGTGAATGGATCTTTAAAATGCTTATAAATGTATGTCCGGTAGAAGTAAAATGCCCTCCGGCAAAAATGGGTGAATTTCGCTTATTTTTAGCTTCATTTCAATGAAGCGAAATGATTTTACTTGTTAACTAACGTATGTGTGTATATATTATCGCTTCAGAAAAAAATACTTTCAGAAAAATGAAATTAAATTTTAATTGCTAAATAATTCGTAGTATTTGCTAAGGATTATAACAAATTTGATAATAATATTACGAGAAATTTGAATAAAAATCATGCGAAGAGTGATAGTACTAATAATACAAATATATAAGTAGTAATAGAAATTATGATTATTATAAAAATTACGATAATCAAAGTTCTATGTTACAGACTTCGAAAAATACGAATTATACAAATTGAAAAGATTCGAAAATATGCATTTAATTGAAATAAAATAAACTAAATAATTTTTCTTTAAACGAATGCTTTCGATAGATTACTGTTTCCAATAAGGTATTTTCAACTTTCATACAATTATTCGATTTGGATGTGTAACTCAACTTAAATTATTCTAACCTAATTTACAACATTCATGAAAAAATATTTTATGATATCAAAAATTCATCAATCAATATTTTCCATTATTTGTCGTATGTAATAGAAAACAGGATTTATTGATCTTATGGAAGTTTTCGTTGTGCTTAGAACATTTGTGTTAAAAGATATTGAGATATTTGAAAAAAATTTCATTTCACAGCAATGGAAGCAATCAATGACTTTTAAACGGAAACTGATATTTATCGAATTGTGAATGATTAATGAAAGATAAAGAAAACTACCGCCAAGGGTTGATAATATAAAAAATGTATGGAAAAGAAACTTAGAAAATTTTATAATGAAAGTAAAGGAAGAATGACTAACTTATTGGTTGACAACAACGAAAGGAACGCAACTTATTGGTTGTCAACAACGATAAGAGCGCTTATAGCAAAATAACATTCATAAAAGAGAACTAATTAAAAATTTTCTTCCTGTGCTTTTTTTACAACAAAAAAGTGAAAAGAAAAAAGTTTCTTTAAAAGGCTAACGAATTTTCATCAAATTTTCAATGCTATTATTAAAATATGAAATGGCTAATTTTAAAACAATCAATAATTAATAAACGAAATACGAAATGTTTTATTAAAATTTAAATTAAACTTTAAAGATATCTTTTAAAATCCATTTAAAAAAGTTAAAAGTTAATCTTTTTCATATAAATTAACAATGTCAGAAATTTCGAATTGAACATTTTCAGAATATATCAAATTAAATATTTTATTTACAACAATGTTTACCAATACTTTAAAAATGCGATCGAATGATTTGTAGGCATTTCCTATTACTTTAAAATTGCTAAAAAAAGGATATTTTTTAATGAAAAATTGGAAATTTACAAATAATGATAGAGTGTAAGATAATTTTAAAAGATTGATAAAAATATTGAGGTGTTGATGACAGCCTGTGTATGCATGTATGTATGTTTATGTGTATGTGCGAATTTGTCCTATCCTCTCTAAACATGAATTATTGAGTGGATATGAACGATTTATGGGCTATTTTAGTATTATTTCGTATTCCTGCATTTCGTCCTCTTTCACTTCCCCCTCCTCCTCTTCCTCCTCCTTTTCCTCCTACTATTCTTTCAGATTATTGCAAACATCAATTAAGTCCGCTGATCTCTTCAAATATCATTTCTATGCAGTAATAATAATTATTTAAAAAAATCTCCGAATTCGAAGTAATGACCTTTGATGAAATTTAACTTCTCAGTCTTCCATTTAATGACACAGTTTTTATCATTCTCTGATAATTCAGGTTTCGTTATTGCTTTAGCTGATAATGATGCGTCTTGGCTGATATCACCTGGCTGATATCGTGTGACTATTCCTAATAGAGCAACTGATTGTTGCTGCAAGGGGGTGATGTTGAAATTTTGAGATTAATCAATTTGTGAAATAGTGAAGTATTTAGTTAAACTAGAACTGGAAATCAATCATCGATATTAAGCCGAGTTTTAAAAAGAGATTTTGATGATTGAAATTTTCATTTCACAAACTGAATATAGGATACATTCAGGAAAGCTTCAGTGAATCGAAATTTCACTTGCAATCTGAAATTAAAATATGAACTATCATTTTTCATAGTTCACTCAATCTTACCAAAAGATTCATAAAGATCCAGTTTTACAAATTTAAACTTGGAAATAATTTTGAACTTCAATTTTCTTTTTAATTTTAATTTCATCTTTTACATAAGCACTTAAGCGAATGCATGGAGACTTTGGCAAAATTGTAAGAACAAAGTAAATCTAAAGTGATATTGGAATTTAAATTTACAAAATATTAAAATTAAAATAAAACTTATCAAAAATACTAAAAAACATTTTTTTAAGGGAAAAGTTTTGTTTTTTTTTTAATTAAATGTTTTTCGTTTTTTTTTCATTTAATACCAAATAATTAATAAAATTTGCGAAGCAAAAGTTTTTCATTGCAAAAATACAATAATATATATTTTTGAAAGATTCTCATTAATATATATTCTTTTTGATTCTGTTCCCTTAATTCCCTTCTTTGAAAACTTTTTAAAAATTGAAGAAATGATGAAATTTCGACTCAAACGAACAAAAAAAATTAACAGTAAAAAAGAGCGATCAATAATCGCTAATCGCTTCTAATCCCTGATAATTCCTGATCATTTATTATAACATTAAGAAAGAAAACTTTCCATCGGCCTTCACTGCTATTCGATTATCCCAAACAAAATAAAAATTCACTACAAAAGGTCAGAGGTTGTAGGTCAGAGATTAGCTAGATTGAATGACAACTGTGGTGTCTTATTTCTGTTCAGCAACAGGAGGAGTTAAGAGATAGAGAGTTGCTAGCTGCTTCTCACTGCTTACAAAACATGATGTGGCACGCGGCGGTTTTTATACTTTTGGCTCGTGCTGTTAACACAAAAGAAATAATCGAACTTCCGGGAACGGAACATCTAGAAATAAACTTCAAGCATTATTCCGGATATTTTCAAGTTTCAGATATCCATTTTTTGCATTACTGGTAAGCTGCTAATTTTTTGCATTAAAATTTAGAAAAACATAAAAATTAAACAATATTTATTTAAAATGATAATTCTTTTCAAGAAATAAACGTATCAATGTATTACTTATTTTCAGAAAATTCAATTAATTTAGTTATCTTAAAAACTGAAAGTTATTTTAGGTTTGTGGAATCACAAAATAATCCAACAACAGATCCGTTGATTTTTTGGTTTAATGGAGGCCCTGGCTGTTCATCATTAGATGGCCTATTGAATGAAATGGGACCATATCTTACCAGTGATGATGGAAAGACACTTCACTCCAATCCTTATTCATGGAATCAGGTTAATTTCTACAAACACATACCTTTTGCTTAATTATTCTAGGAAATTAGCTTGATGGTTTTTCACTATGCTAATTTCGTTGATTTCAGATGGCTTCCATAGTTTACTTAGAATCACCTGCCGGCGTTGGTTATTCATATTCTACCAATGGGAATGTTAAAACCAATGATAAGAAGGTGCAGTTTGAAAATAAATTTTTACTAAAAATTTATTTTATTTAAAAAAATATAATTCCTGGCAATTCAATGCATTTTTACTTCATTGCTTCAACTTTGCTTCTCATTTTAGAACGCTGTCAATTATTTTATGGCTTACATTACTCATTTTACATTTAAAAGAAATTCTTTAATATATTCAATTGATACTCTTTTTATGTCTAATGAATCATAGATACAACTCAAAAAGCGTAATAAAATATTAAAATAATTATTCATTTAATTTAAAAAAGGAATGCAAAAAAATATAGCGCTGTACAAATTGCATTCTCTTCGCATCATTTTTACTGTATAATATGGTGAAAGTTAAAGTAAAAAATATTTTATAAAATTCTACTTTAAATTTCATTTTTCAATCAGTTCTTTTAAGACAGCCGAGGAGAATTATGTAGCAATCAAAGCATTTTTCAAAGCCTTCACGAATTTCCGCAATCACTCTGTTTATATTATGGGAGAAAGTTATGGTGGCATTTATGTGCCAACGCTAACTGCCCTCATTATTCGTGGTCGTAAAGAATTCCCAATAAATCTTATGGTTTTCTTCTCATCATTTCTCTTTTCCATTTATTAATTTATGAAATATTTAATATTGTTTAAATTCTAAAAAATTCTATTTAACAAATTAAAATTCAACCATTGATCTAATTCATGTACCCTTTTTGCAATCATACGTATGGAAAAGCTCACATGTTACTAAAAAGTATATCATATTATAGAGTATTGAAGAACGAAGTGAGATTTTCCCAATGAGTGAATACTGAAGTGATTGAATGATAAGATGATAAATAACGTCGAAAAATACACATTAACTAAAACAATTACTTCAATGATATATTAAACTGTAAACTAATCAAAATGACGTTTATGAGTTTGCTTAGTTTTGGATCCAAAAAATTAAAAATGCAAAACTTTTAGGGTATTGCAATTGGAAATGGATATGTAAATGAGGCACTAAATATTGATACATCGATAATTTTCGCTTATAATCATGGACTTGTTGATGAGAAAACGTGGAATGCGCTTCAAACTGAATGTTGTCGCGGCTGTATTGACACGTGTGAGCTGACAAATGTCACCGATAAGCATTGTATAAGCGAGGGAAGAGCTTCTTTTACTTTTTTTTAGAAAATGTTTTTTAAATCTATTTTTAGACTACTAATTTTTTATATTATTATTATTATTATTATTATTATTATTATTATTATTATTATTATT